CCGGAGAATGGAAACGGATCTATGATTTCATTCGAAGTCAGTAAAATAGGTAATTTATGTTACCAAAGTGATCATAATGTCCTGATTGGTCTATAAAAGAGGTAAGGTTTGATAAATAATAAAACATAATGTCCTAATTAGGACGTAATCAGATTAAAGCATTAACAGAAAGCATTTTTTGATTAATTAACATGGATTGGTTACTGACTTATAACGTCATTCGTAATCAGTAAAAAGGCTGAAGTTTGTGACATAAGTGATCATAATGACCTGATTATGCTGTAAAAGGGCATTAATGACTGGAAATCATTACACATCATATAGACAATATAGAAACCAAATGCAAAAGGATTTAAAATGGAGGCAGAACGCACCTACGAATCTGGAACATCTCAACACCTGGTAAACGCACGGCCCGAACAGCCCATGTGCAACGAGGAAAATCCACACAGACAACATGAAGACAAGATTTTTTGGATGTTCGAATCCGGTACTGGAACTGGTTAGAAATTGCTAACATCTTCAAATGGATATCAAGATCCTTTTTGCTGGCATAAATGGCATCAACAACAATTCTAGTAGGATCGAACCGAGATGTAACGTGCATCTCCTTCATTGTGACAATGTCCTGCTGAGACATTACATAACCAGACGGGTTGGATTGAAGGTAGTTCCTGCAATCAAGGTCGTTGGTTTGGACGTTATTCTCAGGAATTTCATCTCCACGAAATGTGTCGAGTACAAACCCGGGCGGAAATCGCATTTGTGATGGTATAACGCCTTCATCCCAAATGCACAAGGTTTGGTTTGCTCCAAAATCAGAGAGAGAGCCATCTGATTCTGTATCTTCGCAGCCGCTTGAATTGGAGACGGAATGATGACAAAGAAGAGGTTGCTGTAACTCCGAAAGGACTAAACCTCCTTTAGGAGCGACAGTTTCAGAAGAATTACCTATTTCAACACACAAAGGGAATTCACGTGTACCACAGTGAATGCTCTTCAACCGAATGTATGCATAAAGGCTCGTATCATCATCAATCACAACATGAGTCGAGCATGAATCAGACATATGTGAAATCTTAAAAACTAAATTTTCATAAGAGGATGGTACCGTATCACGAATGACCTCCAACAAATCAGTGAATGATGACTGAAGCGGAATGTCGATCTCATATGCATGTGTGTAGGAGAAGCCACCATGACCGCCCCATTTTCCGTCAAATTGCAACAGACAATGGATGGCAGCCGGTTTTGACGATACAGACGCAAGCAATGAAGCAAACATGGTGTTACGCTACTGTGAAGGCGCGAAGAAACTTGGTGGTGGCCGGCAAAGAAACTTGGTGGTGGCCGACTCTGCTTTAGGGTAGAAACCTAAACCAGCGGGAGTTGCAGCGCAAGTAAAGGGATAATGGCTAAAAGGTGGGAGAAGTTATTAATCATTATCCTGAAAAAATTAGGGAATTAAATAATAAATAAAAGCAGTGTTTTCCGTACGGGAAGGGTAAAATTGGGTGCACGAACAAAAATAAATCCTATTTAAGAGAAAAAAAGATACAAGTCCTATTTAGGGAAAACACACATGTTTGGCTCCTATATGGAACAAATTTTACTTTTCAAAAACATACCACGAGACGATTTCGGTAAAGATGTTATCTCTATATCTAATGATTTCAATGCTACAGTTCCCACCCCTTAGGTAATTTTAATATTTTTTTTAGATTTTTCTATTTTTAATTTTCTGTATGGGAAATGCAATATGTATTCTTGATATCTTGAATATGTTATATTCCTTTCGTCCATAAATATCGTCTCAGTTACTAACCTAGCATCCGGATAATTTATGTTTATTTTTTATATTTTTATTAATTACTCTTCCGTCTCCAAGTATTTGTCCATTTTTTACTTTTTTAGACAAAATTGGTAAACTTTGACCTTGAATTAAATAAAAATGATACTCCCTCCGTCCCAAAAAGATTTACACGTTTCAAAAAAATTGCGTCTCACAATCTCTTACCTATTTTCATTAAAAAACCACTTTTACCCCTTACTTTTTCAAACCCTACTTATCACATCATACCTTTTTCCTAATAATCTACACATCACATCCTACTTTTACCCATCACATCAAGGGTATTTTTGGAAACTCAACACAAAATTATCACTCCCTTAATTTCAACTTTAGTCAAAATGAGTAACACTTTATGGGACGGAGGGAGTATTAGATATTGATACATAAAAAGTTTGGAAGGTTAAAAATAATTGACCGAAAAAAATCAAAATTAGACAAATATCTAGAGACCCGAGATAGTAATTGATAAAATAAGTATACTTGAGAATTGAGATTGCAGTTCTGCATACGCCACTTTCTCCCAAATAAATTACTCCGTAATAAAAAATAAATTGAATATATAATCATCATGGTATTAAAAAAATGTTTACTAGTATAATTTATGCAGTCATTACCAAGGTCTATTAAAAATTCAGATTGATCAAAGAATTTTCTAAGATTAGAGACAAAAATTATGATCCATGTTACTTTCCTTTTGTTTTTATAAATATTGATCACATAATTTTATCTTTTATCAACACCAAATTTTGAGATCTAATTGTTGAAATTTAAGACATCGTTCAAATTATTTTTTTGTGAATAACAAAATTGTTTTGATTTCAGAAACTCTTAAAATATGTGCATGAGTCAAGTGTCCAACAATGTAGATTCTTATTTTAAAATAATGATGGAAATTTATACATATGCATGGAATGACTCTAGCTATTTTATGTGTGACCATTCTCATTGTTGGTTGCCAAGAATTGAAATTAGACTTTACCATTTTTGCACACTCTTATTTGAAGAGTGTCCATGCACTTCACCAAACAATATACCAGGAGTAGTATATGATTTGACGTAATTCACCTAGTTGAGAGAGTAGTACTATGGAATTAAATTTGAATTAATTACTATCAACGATGACAAAGAATAAAAAATGCTACGAAAATACATAAGATTCTTGCACATCAAAGACATATTCGGAAATATTCTTTCTCCGAATCAGGTTATTATCTGGGTCGGTACTAGGAAAAGTCATATATGTAGAATGCAAACTTTTTAAAAAAAAACTCCTTTCGTTTCTGTATTAATCTAGCATCACGCCGGTGGACATTGCGCAGTTGGCCAATGCAATGAGTCCCAAGAAAGTATGACCCGAGTTCGATTCCTGACAACTGCATTGACAAACAACTATATTAAGCATAGAGCTTCTATAAGTTCTGGGTGCAAGCTGTACTCTTTGCCATCAATCTGTGATTAAAGTCTAATTTCATTTCTCTCATTAACCGTCCGACTGGGTCTGAACGGGTTCAAGGGTGGTGCTTTTTTTTTTATTAATCTGGCATCACACCCTCGGGCACTGTTTTGGCGCATCACTATTATCCATAAAGAAAAGAAGAAAAAAACACAGTTTTTAGAAAAATGAAAATCTATCTTTGCTCTGCTCTTCGAAACTGGGACCTCAAAACCAACAAAAATTCATCTTTCACAATCTCCACACATTTCCAAGTGCAGATTACAAACTTTACCAGAAGCTGAAATGGAGGAGAGATTTGCAAAAGCAGGCATGGGTATAGTACTGCTTTTCTTGACATGCCTATCTGCAGGTGGCACAGAAGCCGCCGCCAAGTACAAGGACCCAAATCTGCCCATTGGGGTTAGAATCAGAGACTTGATGAAAAGTATGAGTCTTGCTGAAAAGTTAGGGCAGATGACCCAGATTGAAAGGCATGTTGCCTCCCCTTCTGTCATCAAGAAATACTTCATTGGTATGTTTTATACTCCGTATATATATATCCTCATTTGCCCTTCAATTTCAGCATTCTTTAGTTCAGTTCAATATGTTTTGGGCTTGTTTAATTTAAGTGTTATTTTGTTCAGTTCAGTATGTTTAGCTTAAAATTATACTACTATTAGTTCAACCCAGTATCATTCAGTTCTGTTTCGTGCAGCTCTATCAAACCTAAAAGGAGAAAGAAAAGAAAAGGAGTAGATCTTTACTCAAAACCACCACTTTAAACTACATTTTGCTTATTTTAAGCCATTTTTTGCCATTTTAAGTACTTTAAGTTATATATGTAACTAATCGTCTAATAGGTGCATTGCTTATAGTTTCTTGTTTATGGGTGATGAAATGCCGGTGACTTATGGAGCATGGGGTGTGTGGTTGTTGTGGCAGGGAGTGTTCTGAGTGGAGGAGGGAGTGGACCGGCGCCTAAGGCCTCTGTGGAGGCGTGGGTCAATATGGTGAATGAGATCCAGAAAGGGGCTCTTTCGACCCGTCTCGGGATCCCATTGCTTTATGGGATTGACGCAGTTCACGGTCACAACACTGTTTATGGGGCCACGATTTTCCCTCATAATGTTGGGCTTGGAGTCACAAGGTCTCTCTCTCTCTCTCTCTCTCTCTCTCTCTCTCTCTCTCTCTGTCTTACTTTGTTCGTGCTAAATGCTAATAATGTGTTTTCTTTGTACGTGTGGCTGTGTTTGAGCCGGGGTTTCTTGGAAATGTTCTCTCAACTTCAGAGTAGGGGTAAAGTCTGCACACATTCAGACACCTTTTCCGAACCTTACTCTTGTGAGACTTTACTGGCTTTGTTGTTGTTGTTGTATTATAGCCACAATATCCCCCCCCGGTTTGTGATGGAAATCATGGAATGTATATTTGGATAGGGATTAGGAAATAAGGATCAATCATAACTAAAAGATTGAATCAACCATTAACGATTTGTAACGTTTGTGTTATAAACTCATGACAGAGATCCAGAACTTGTAAAGCGGATTGGAGCTGCCACTGCACTTGAAGTCAGATCCACGGGAATCCCTTATGTTTTTGCTCCTTGCATTGCAGTAAGTACTAAGGCAATGTTTGAAACGAGTTGTCCACTTTCCAAAAATTCTCGTTTTCTAAAAAATGCGTTTAAAATGTCAAAGAAGTCCTTTGTATTATAGTGTTACTTTACATCACACATATGTTTGCAGACATTAAATGGTTTTTGTATCCTTTTAATGTTTGGCTGTTTTGGTTTCATAGGTCTGTAGGGATCCAAGATGGGGACGATGTTACGAAAGCTATAGCGAGGATCACAGGATTGTGCAAATGATGACTGAGATTATACCTGGTTTACAAGGGGATCTCCCACCAAACTCCCATAAAGGCATTCCCTTTGTTTCTGGAAGGTTAAAAAAAATCCGAGTTGTTCTTATCTTTCCATAACGACACTTGCAAGTTTATTATGGTATTCATCGCCAACAAGGCTAAAGCCTAAAAGAGTCATTATCTTTCAGTATGGTTTGGCTCAAGTATCTTATACCGATCTCAAATTCTATTGGTTCATTAAGATTCAGACTTAACATGTTCCCAAAATTTCAGGGAAAAAGTTGCAGCGTGTGCCAAACACTTTGTGGGGGATGGAGGCACATTCAAGGGCATTGATGAGAATAATACCGTTATTAGCGTAAACGAGTTGTTTGACATTCACATGCCTGCATATATTGATTCAGTTAGAAAGGGCGTTTCAACGGTAATGGTGTCTTACTCTAGCTGGAATGGCATGAAGATGCACGCTAATCGTGCTCTAATCACCGGCTTTCTCAAAGACAAACTCAAGTTCAGAGTAGGACAATTTTACCCCTCTCCTCTCCCGTCCCAAACAAAAAATTACCTGGGTGACTGGTCACAGAGTTTAAGAAAAGTGTTTAAAAGTAAAAAAGCAGAATTTGTTAAGTAAAGGAAATCTTTGGGAATTTCATAAGTTGGTGTTTGGTTCTCAACTATATACATTTTTTTTTGTGGTTGCTTGCATTTCAGGGATTTGTTATTTCTGATTGGGAAGGAATTGACAAAATTACCGATCCACCCCGTGCTAATTACACTTATTCCATTCAAGCTGCAATTCTAGCAGGGATTGATATGGTACGGTATGCCCATGAATATACGAATGACAAATCAGTTGTTTTATGCAGTATTAATTCGTCTAAGTTAAAACACAGGTTATGGGTCAGGAGAGGTTGACAGAGTTTTTAGACGTTTTCGCATCCCTCGTGAGGAAAAAAATTATTCCCATTAGCAGAATAGACGACGCCGTGAGGAGGATACTAAGGGTAAAATTTGTGATGGGTCTGTTTGATAACCCGGTGGCGGATCTCAGCCTGAAGAATCACTTGGGCAGCCAGGTAAATCGATATATGGCGTGTTTGACTTGTAGAAAAGAATATATATACGAGGAATGTAATTTGAATTCCGCGGGATACGAATACTTATTTTGACCAAAATGCCCTTAGAGAGTCATGTCATCTAATCATTCTAATGCATAGGAGCATTTACCATTTGAATCGAATTCGTGTCATCTAATGTATAGGAACATAGAGAACTCGCAAGAGAAGCCGTTAGAAAGTCGCTTGTTCTCTTGAAGAATGGGAAAACCACAAACCACCCGTTACTACCGCTGCCAAAGAAAGCAACAAATATTCTCGTGGCCGGGACCCACGCTGATAACTTAGGCTACCAATGCGGAGGCTGGACTATAACGTGGCAAGGTCTTGGCGGCAATGACATCACTATCGGTACGCGTTTCCTACATTTTTTGTGTTGAAAGTTTTTAAAAAATTGCAGGGGGTTCTGCTGACATTAGCCCCCCATGGGCCCCGGTTGGGGTCCCCCATGGTGCTCTCTTTGAAAAAATTAGCGTGTCCTATCCTGGGTGAACCCCACCTCGGTCTGACCTGAACCCATCCCCTTCAACTGTATCCCACCAAATTTAGTTGACTTTGGAGTCAAAATGTCATCGGAGCCAAGCCGAAATTGCAGGGTTAATCTTTGATTGAGATTTCTACTATACTAGGGACGACAGTTTTATCGGCCGTGAAAAGAACGGTGGATCCATCAACACGTGTCGTCTTCCAAGAGAATCCCGACACAATGTTTGTTAGGGCCAACCACTTTGATTATGCCATTGTCGTTGTCGGAGAGCTTCCATATGCCGAGATGTTCGGAGACAGCTCGAATCTCACAATACCCGAACCCGGAATCAGTACCATCCACAACGTCTGTGGCGTTGTCCGATGCGTAGTGGTCATCATTTCGGGCCGTCCGGTTGTGATCGAGCCTTTTGTTAGTAAGATAGATGCACTTGTTGCTGCTTGGCTTCCGGGAACCGAAGGCCGAGGCGTTACGGATCTTTTGTTTGGTGACTTCGGGTTCACGGGCAAGCTCGCCCGAACTTGGTTCAAGTCGGTCGACCAGCTGCCGATGAATGTGGGCGATCCACATTACGACCCGTTGTTCTCTTTCGGGTTTGGTCTGGTGACCAAACCTGTGTAAGAGGACCTACAAAATGTACTTCATCACATATTGGCATCATAATAATCTTACTAACTCAATTTGTTTTTGGTTCAAGGAATTCATAAGATTTTTTTTCATGTTTGGATAAAAATGAAACAAAATGGTAGGAAAAGAAAAGGTAGGGAAAATGTAATGTAAAATTATAAATTATGTTTTCTTCCCATTTTTGTGAGAAAAATAATACGCATAATAAATCACAAATGTCGTCCTTAGGGGTGGACACGGTACCGGTACAGTACCGGTATCGGAAACGGTACCGCCGGTTCCGGTACCGTTACCGTCGGCCGGTACGGTCCACCGGTTCCGGGAACCGGTACCGGTACCGCCCAATCCGGTACCGGTACCGGTTCCGGTGCCCATTTTTCTGTACCGGCACCGGCGGTTCCGGTTCCGGTATCGTTACCGTTTTTTTTTTTTATTTTTTTATTTCATTCTTTCCTTATAGTTAAAGTAAAAATCTAAAAAAATAAAGTAGTAAAGGAAATTGTTAATGTGTAAATGTTAAAATGTAAAATTTTTATATTATTTTTTCGTTTTTTTTTTTGTTTTAATCCCCACCGGCTTTGCCATGGCCTTGGCCTTGGCCATGGCCGGCCAGGCCATGGCCATGGGGTACCAAGGGGTGGCGGTACCGGAACCGTACCGTGTCCACCTCTAGTCGTCCTCCGTTTTCCATTTTGTTGCCCCCACTCCCCCCACCCACCCCTGTTCTCCCACTTTGATCAATGCTTTTGTATCTTTTTTCGCTTTCTCTACAATAATTAATTAAATAAGTAAAATTTGTACTAAATAGGACTAAAACATAATGACTTTCCTAATCTAGGACTTAAATTTTTTTATTCCCTAAATAGGACTTAATAATGACCTTGTGAGAGGAATAATGTCCAGTAATGATAGACATTTAGTTGAATAATGACTAATTCATAATGACCAAAAGTCCTACATTGGGAAATAAAAACATATGGTCCTATATTGAGAAAATCATTATGTTTTAGTCCTATTTAAGTAAATTACTCATTAAATAACCCTTCTTTGATCGATGTTTCTGTATCTTTTTTCGCTTTCTCCATAATAATTAATTAAATAAGTTATTACGGTATAAATTATATTGTTTACCAATTTTCTTACTAACAAAAAAATTAAATAAAAAATTTGGTCAAAATGTAACTTTTTTCCCCTTAATATTCTCATTTCTTTCATAATTCTCTTGTGTAAAATCTTTCTAGAAAGAGTAAAATACAAGTCTTCCTTTTTTTTTACCTTCAGCTTAACCCAAATTTCTACCCAAAAATACCAAGAAAAACACCATAGAATCCACCTTTTGACTTCAAAGAACTCGTGTTTTTTCAATCAATCATTTACTCCCTCAGTCTGGAATTAGATTACAATTTTTTTTCTTCCTTCTCGATAATTTTGTTTATATGTGTATTTTCATTGACTATTTGATAAAATTTGTAGAACTTTTGATATAGTTTTTTAATATGTAATTTTTATTTCTTACTGATATATCAATTCGTAAATAAAATAATTTTAAAAGGCGAGAAATTTTGCTTCGTAATACTCAATTTGTAATCAAATTAGGACGGAGTGACTATCATTTAATCTCCATCATTAACTTATTATTGGCCGAAAGTCCATCAAAAAAGGGAGTACCAAGGGAGCAGCCCACCATATTTTAAGAGATGACTGTTGAAACCTTTGAAAAAACAAGAGTACTAGAGAATAAAAGTACCACTCAAGTTTTAAATACTTGATTGTCACTAAATTATCATCCTGAACGACACATATTACATATTTAAAATTTACATCAAAAGTTTTACAAAATATTTAGTGGCATACATATTTTATTTTATCAAATAATCAACGAAAATACATAAGCAAACGAATGACTGATGCTAATTTATAAGGAATGAAGTCATAATTTATAATTGTAGAGGATGAAAAATGAGATAGTCCTTGAATTCGACTCCTAAAAATGACGATGAAGGAAAACAATGGGTAGCATGAGGCCTTTGCACGCACAAGATAAATCTCATAGTCTGTCAATCATCGTAAAACGAAATTGGACAAAAAGAATGGGACATTGGCATCAATTAAGAATATTAGTCAAATTATTCTTTGATAAAAAATACTCCTTCCATTCCCAAATAAAAATTAGGGAGGGATTTACAAAAATAAAAAGATATTTTAATTCCTTTTTTTTAAAATGGGGTATATAAAATCAGTTAAGTATTTAAAAATTGCATTAAAAATTGTAATCTCTCCGTTCTAAAAGATTCTATCCGTTTGGATTTATAACGTTTGATTGAAGTCATTTTCAATTCGATTCATTTGATTATAGTTGTTAAATTATAAAATAAAAATTATATACTTAATTAAAAAGCACATCTAAAGTTCTACAAAACTAGATATGATATAACTATATTATTTTATCAAAAAACGAATAAAAATAAATAAATAAAATGATTAATGTTTGACTATGTGAATAGTAACTGAAATAAATGTTTTATGATGAAAGAAATAAGAAACAAGAGTTCATATAACTATGTTATTTTATCAAATAATTAATGAAAGTATAAATATACAAAAGGCATATTTCATCATTCTAATTTCTAAAGTCTAAACTTTGAAATAGGATAAAGAAAAATGAGAAGTATTAATGGGAGTGTATACTTTTTTAAACTTTATCTACCAGCCAACAACGACTATATATACACCCGGGATTTATGAGATGATTCCGTAGTTATTCTCACAATCTCTTCTCACTCGTTTTAGCCATTCCAAGATTTGAGCTTTTTTTTAGTCTGGTACGTACATTCAAGAATCTTTTTCTTTCTTTCTTTAAATTCCTCAATGGGACAGTGGGAGTATTAGAAAAAATTGAATCTTTGTTATTCTAAGGAGTACACTCAGTAAAATCTGGTGCAATTAATCTAAACTGTAATAATGGTGATTAGTAGTGTTAGACAGACAATAGTAAATTAGTAACAATAATATTAACCATAGTAAACTCAAAATCTACGTTTGCTGGGGTTGAATGTTTGAGTCTTTAGCTTCTTCTAAATAGTACAAACTATTGCTTCAGCATTTCATGGCATCAAAGCATCATTTTTTTGTTCTGAATTACAGAAGGGGGAGAAGAATGGGGGGATCTGGAAGGGCATTCTTGGAAGTTTTGTTGGTGGTGGTTTTGTGCTTGGTGGGAGAAGCTGGTGCTGGGGATGCTGCAAAGTACAAGGACCCAAAGCAGCCAGTGGAAGATAGGATCAGAGATTTGATGGAAAGGATGAGTCTTGCTGAGAAGATTGGTCAGATGACTCAGATTGAGAGGAATGTTGCCACTCCTGATGTCATGAACCAATCCTTCATTGGTACTCTGTATATGTTTTTAAAAAAATGTTTTTGGATTGTTACCAGATTCCAGTTCTTGCTTAAAAATAGGTACAATGCATTTGCTGATGATGGGTATTCATCATTATTATTTGAATTTTTTAATGGATATTATCTGAAATTTGTAATGCCAAAGAAAATGGGATTCTGTGTTGTTATATTTAGATAAAAATGGAATCTTTGACATAGGTATAGGCACAAACATTGCTTTTAAGAGTGCAGAATATTTGTTCTTGTGACAGACAGTTATGAGTTATGACATATGGTTAACTTGTCTTCAAGATGTGATTAAGAAAGGGTTTTCATATGATTATGATAGGGAGCGTGTTGAGTGGAGGAGGAAGTGTGCCTAAACAAAACGCGAGCGCTAAAGATTGGACAGACATGGTGGATGAGCTTCAGAGAGGGGCGCTTTCGACCCGCCTCGGAATTCCTATGATTTATGGGATTGATGCAATTCACGGGCACAATAATGTCTACAATGCCACCATTTTTCCTCACAATATTGGGCTTGGTGTTACCAGGCAAGTGCATTATCATGAATTTCGAGTATTTATTTATGTATTCATTCATGTATTTATTTGTTCATTTATTTTTATTAATAGGGATCCAGAACTAGTGAAAAAGATTGGAGCAGCAACTGCACTTGAAGTTAGAGCAACAGGAATCCCCTATGCCTTTGCTCCTTGCATTGCAGTAAGTTGCTCTTATATAAGATGATTATAATGCTCTATAAATATTTTGTAATTTTGGGTATGTACAATATAGGTTTGTAGGGATCCAAGATGGGGACGGTGTTACGAAAGCTATAGCGAGGATTACATGATTGTGCAGATGATGACTGAGATTATACCTGGTTTACAAGGAGATGTCCCTTCTAATTACACCCCCGGAGTTCCCTTTGTCGCCGGAACGTATGTCACCCCACCCCTCCCCCTCCCCTACCCCGCAATTGTAAGATCCTTCCCTGGCCTACAACCAGAAGCTCAAGCATGCGGTTAAGTCGGTTAAAATGGTATTATATGTGATTTTTTTGTTCCAAATGGTACATTTTTGTGTAACAGGAACAAAGTTGCAGCTTGCGCCAAGCATTTTGTGGGAGACGGTGGCACAAACAGGGGGATAGATGAGAACAATACGATAATAGATATGAAGGATCTGTACAGCATTCACATGCCTGCATACTATGATTCAATCAAAAAGGGTGTTTCTACTGTTATGGTTTCCTACTCAAGTGTGAACGGCATTAAGATGCACGCAAACCGTGAACTTGTCACCGGCTTCCTCAAGGAGAAGCTCAAGTTCCAAGTAAATATAGTGTAATCTTGAACAAGAACAAGTCCACTTTTTTAGTAAGTCAACTCGCGATCTTACCAAAGAAATGGTTGAATGTGTGTCTATTTGCAGGGATTTGTGATATCAGATTGGGAAGGCATTGACAGGATTACTAGCCCGCCAGGCGCCAATTATACGTATTCTGTACAAGCTGGGATTCTTGCAGGCATTGACATGGTGAGCCTAGAGTTATTATAGGTATGATCGGGGAAAATGTCTTTCCTTGGTTTTATTCTAACACGGGTTGGATTTATTCGTGACTCCTCAGGTGATGGTCCCGCAAGATTTCAAAGATTACATTGGTAACTTGACCGATTTGGTGAATAAGAAAGTGATCCCGATGAGCAGGATCGACGATGCTGTTACGAGGATACTAAGGGTCAAGTTTTCCATGGGTCTCTTTGAGAAGCCAATGTCTGATCCTAGCTTGGCCAACCAACTCGGAAGCCTGGTAAGGACTTGTTCTCCTCCCCTGATCTAGTTGATTTTGATCTTATTAGAATAAGTTCTGATCTGAATATAGTTATATTTAAAGTTATTCCTGATCTGCCCATACAAAGCCTAACTTTGCTTCCTCACAATATTAGGAACATAGAGAGTTGGCTCGGCAAGCAGTGAGGAAATCGTTAGTGCTTCTGAAGAACGGGAAAAATGCCACCGCCCCTCCGTTGCTTCCCCTTCCTAAGAATGCGACAAAGATTCTTGTGGCCGGGACTCACGCGGACAACTTGGGATACCAATGTGGAGGCTGGACCATTGAATGGCAAGGCCTTGGGGGCAACAATCTCACTGTTGGTAATACATTGTTTTCCCTCATCTCAACAAACTCTTGTTGTTGGAACCTATTTCGAAATGTTAGGGTCTGTTTGAAACTTGGAAAATTGCTACAAAGATCAAATATATAGGGAGACAATTTAGAGAAAAACATAAGATATACCCCGGAGTATAAGTTTTCTTTGGTTTCTATCATGTAAAGACTCACTAGGTTGTTGATTGGTTGTATCTTTGTATATGAGCTAAGGGTATTTTGGGAACAACTTCTCTATTTCAAAGTATGGGTGGGGTCTGCGAACACATCCTTCCCAGACCCTACTTTTGTGGGATTTTACCGGATTCGTTTTCGTAATATATAAGGGTAGTTTTATTTTAATTTCACAAGAAAAAACACACAAACACAACTCTTATTAGTGTTATTTCCATTTCCTATCGTTTTAAAGGATTTAAACACACCCTAGGCATCACAAATTCACAATGGCTCTTTTTTTTGCAACAGGAACCACCATTTTATCTGCGATCAATAAAACCGTTGATCCCTCAACGCAAGTGGTGTACCAAGAAAGCCCAGACGCGGACTATGTCGTGTCCAACAACTTCTCACACGCCATTGTGGTCGTGGGCGAGGACCCGTATGCCGAGATGTTCGGTGACAACACGAACCTCACCATAGCGGGGACGGGTTACGCCACCATGGACAACGTGTGTGGGGTAGTCGAGTGTGTGGTGGTCGTGATCTCGGGACGCCCCGTGGTGATCGGGGCCCACATTGCGAACGTGGGTGCCCTGGTCGCGGCGTGGCTGCCCGGAACAGAAGGACAAGGGGTTGCTGATGCCTTGTTTGGGGATTTCGGGTTCACGGGCAAGCTTGCCCGAACATGGTTCAAGTCGGTCGATCAACTGCCGATGAACGTGGGGGACGCGCATTACGACCCGTTGTTTCCCTTCGGGTTCGGGCTCACGACGGAGCCCGTGAAGTCCTAAAATGGATGGGCAACACGTGTGAAGATACTTTATATATATAGTAGTGTCTTCTCTAAACACTATTTTTTGGTTAATTTTTCTATACAAGGCTTCAAATCATTTACTCCATCATTCATGTGTCCATCAAAAGTGTACTTGAAATTAAAATTTGTTTACAATAGAGTGTTTCTTTCCTTAGATAACTTTGATTTATTTAGAGACAAAAAATATGTTCTTTTCAACTTATTTGTATTACTTATTAATAACAATCAGATCAGGTAAAGAGAAGAATTCCAAAATTAACATGAAATAACAATCGAAATAAATCTATTATATTAAATTTATATCACAATTCAATATATTTTTTCCATAACCTATGATCAAAATTTTAGAATGTTGATCACAAAAGTCAAACTAGGACAAAAGCTATGAAAGGAAAAGATATGCTCCATAAAATAGTACATATGAGAGGATATGATTTACTCTCTCTGTCCTTAAAAGATTGTCATTAATTGATTTTTTAGATAAATTATGGCATTTTTTTTATTATGAATTATTAAAAAGTATATTTATGTATAATGTAAAATTAAATTTATTTTAAAATATAATTTTGAAATATTAAATTTTTAGAGGATATTTATTTGTCATTAATGGGGAGATATATACATTGCACCGTGCACGTTTACTTTCCAGAGATCAGTCAGAAAATAATAAACCCACCCACTATGGCTAGACCACTCGTAGAAGTACATATCATCATCCCATTACCCATATCCCCATTGCAATAATTTTTAACGGCTCCATTTTGGTGACGCCAGCCCATTTAAATCATTGGAACAATTCTTTTTTTTTTTTTTGAAGGAAAATAAATCAAAATAAAACATGGTTCTATTGGAATTTGGAATCATATCTTAGAATAATTCCTTCCAATCTTTTTTAAACTTAACTTTATCCACACCACCCAAATATATACACTCGAGATAGTAGTCCTCATCAGTTGGTTATTCTCACTCCAAGATTTGAGCTTTTTCTCTGGTACATTCAAGAAATCCTTTCTTTCCCCTTTCCCTCTTTTCTTCTTCTCACTGGAACATGGTGGAAAAAATTGAATCTTTATGGAGTCCTAAAATCAAAGAAAAAGAAATTTTGAATCTTTGATATTGTAACAGTACACTCTTTGAAATCTGGTTCATCTCAGCTGTAATGGTAATTAGTTTTAGTCAAATTATTATTGTTATAATACTACTGTTGAGTATAGGTTTTGTTCATTGATTACTCTCTATAAATCTACTGGGATTGGCTCTCTTGCTTCTTCTATATAACACAAACAATCATCTCAGAATTCCATGGTATCAAAGCCTCTTTTCTTTTTTCCTATCTCAATTGCATACAGATAGAGAAGAAGCAAAAATGGGGAGATCTGAAAGGGCATTCATGGTGGGATTGTTATTGGTGCTGGTTTTGTGCTTGGTGGGAGAAGCTGGTGCTGGGAGTGCTGCAAAGTACAAGGACCCAAAGCAGCCAGTGGGTGTTAGGATCAGAGATTTGATGAAAAGGATGAGTCTTGCTGAGAAGATTGGTCAGATGACTCAGATTGAGAGGAATGTTGCCACTTCTGATGTCATGAAGCAATACTTCATTGGTACTCTATATATGTTTTTGTTTATTTTTTTTATTTGAGTTCTTTTTTGTTTTTTTGAATTCTTCCGAGATTTCAGTTCTAGCATATGAAGATGATGGGAATTAATTATTGTTCTTATTGTTGATATTATTAATTTAGAACTATTTTTGTTATTATTATTATTATCTTTTCAAAAAATTATTATTATTATTATTATTTGAAATTTTGAATGCCAAGAACAATGGTGTTCTGTTTTGTAATGCTGTTGAGATAAAAATGGAACCTTGGACATAAATATAGGTATAAAACATTTTTTTAAAAAAACTTACGTTTTAATCTTTCAAGATTTCCGTTATTGCTAATGATGGGTATTTATTATTGTTACTAATGTTGATTTATAATTTCAAATTTTGAATGCAAAGAACAAATGCATTCTGTTTTGTTATGGTGTTCAGATGAAAATTGAACCATGGACATGAATGTAGGTATAAAGCATTTTTTAAATTCCAAAAAAAACACTTTTTTCTCTTTCAAGATTTCAGTTCTTGCTGATGATGCATAATTATTATTATTATTTGAATTTTTTTATGGATATTATTTGAAATTGATAATGCCAAAAAGAATAGTATTCTGCTTTGTTATATTAAATGGAGTTTTTCCCATTAAATAACTGCATTAGCTCTGCAGTTGGATCTTTAAAGGTGCAAAATATGCAAAGTTTGTTTTAATGGCAGACACTTATGAGATCATAACAGATTGTAGGGAACTAAACTCTTTCAATGATGTGACTAAGAAAGGGTTTTCATATGATTATGATAGGGAGTGTATTGAGTGGAGGAGGAAGTGTGCCCAAACCAAACGCGACCCCTAAAGATTGGACAAACATGGTGGACGAGCTTCAGAAAGGGGCGCTTTCGACCCCCCTCGGTATCCCTATGATCTATGGGATTGATGCAGTTCATGGGCACAACAATGTCTACAAGGCCACCATTTTTCCTCACAATATTGGGCTTGGTGTCACCAGGCAAGTGCATTATCATGAATCTTGAATATTTTTTAATTATTTATTTTATTTATATATTTGTTTATTTATTTTGTGACAGGGATCCAGAACTAGTGAAAAAGATTGGAGCAGCAACTGCACTTGAAGTTAGAGCAACAGGAATCCCATATGCTTTCGCTCCTTGCATTGCAGTAAGTTGCTCTTATATAAGATGATTATAATGCTTTATATTTAGTGTTTCTGAATTATGATTTTGGCATGTACATTATAGGTTTGTAGGGACCCGAGATGGGGACGGTGTTACGAAAGCTATAGTGAAGATCACAAGATTGTGCAGATGATGACCGAACTCATCCCCGGCTTACAAGGAGATCTCCCTGCTAACTACCGTCCCGGAGTTCCTTTTGTCGCTGGAAAGTATGTCCCTTCCCCCCTACCCACCTCAGACCCTACCTTGTTGCTTATGGGTATTCTTGACCATGTAAAACAACGTGTAACAGGAACAAAGTTGCAGCGTGCGCGAAGCATTTTGTGGGAGATGGGGGAACGGTAAGAGGGATTGACGAGAACAATACGGTAATAGACATGAAGGAATTGTTCAGCATTCACATGCCAGCATACTATGATTCAATCAAGAAGGGTGTTGCCACTGTTATGGTTTCTTACTCCAGTGTAAATGGCCATAAGATGCATGCCAATGGTGACCTAGTCACCGGCTTCCTCAAGAACAAGCTCAAGTTCAGGGTAAGATGTCCTGCCCCGCCCCATATCCGTTAAACTTTGCTCAAAAGTCCATAAAAAATCAATCTTTTTAGTAAGTTGACTCGCGATCTTACCAAAAAAAAAATGGTTGAATGTGTGTCTATTTTCAGGGATTTGTGATATCAGATTGGCAAGGCATTGACAGGATTACCAGCACGCCGAACTATACGTATTCTGTACAAGCTGGGATTCTTGCAGGCATTGACATGGTGAGCCTAGAATTATCATTACTGTGATTAGAAGGAAAAAATGTCATCTTTCCTTGAAAAAATGGTCAGTTTTATTCTAAAACGGGCTGGGTTTATACGCGATTCCTCAGGTCATGGTACCACAGATCTACAAAGATTACATTAATGATTTGACGGATTTGGTGAACAAGAAAGTCATTCCGATGAGTAGGATCGACGATGCTGTCAGGAGGATACTGAGGGTCAAGTTTGCTATGGGTCTCTTTGAGAATCCAATGTCTGATCCTAGCTTGGCCAACCAGCTTGGAAGCCAGGTAAAAAAATCATGACTCTGTTTTTCTGATACTCTGTTTCCAAAGCCAATAAGGATTCTTTTTTACAGTGTTTTACACTTCAACCTACCTTCATATATAATAACAGGAACACAGAGAATTGGCTCGGGAAGCGGTGAGAAAATCATTAGTGCTTCTGAAGAACGGAAAAAGTGCCGCTGCCCCTCCATTGCTTCCCCTTCCTAAGAAAGCCACAAAGATTCTTGTGGCCGGGACTCACGCGGACAACTTGGGATACCAATGTGGAGGCTGGACCATCGAATGGCAAGGCTTTAAGGGCAATGATCGCACCGTTGGTAATACGTTCTTCCCACTTTCCTTTTTTAGACATCCCAAAAAAAACTTTATATTTACTTTATTTCGGTTTCTTTTTTGAGTAATTGACATGTGACTCGCAATATTTCTTATTCATGTAAACAAATTTTAATCATACATTATGTTAATCTTGGGATATTCTTGTAAAATCTCAAATTTCCATAGTGTTTTCAAGGACCCAATGGCTCTTTTTTTTCTTCAACAGGAACAACCATTTTGTCCGCGATCAAGAAAACTGTTGATCCTTCGACGCAAGTCGTGTATCAAGAAAGCCCAGACGCAGGCTATGTCAAGTCGAACAGCTTCTCCTACGCCATAGTGGTCGTGGGCGAGGTCCCATACGCGGAGATGTATGGTGACAGCACGAACCTCACCATTGCGGGGACCGGTTACGCCACCATAGACAGTGTGTGTGGGGCAGTCAAGTGCGTGGTTGTCGTGATCTCGGGACGCCCCGTGGTGATTGGGTCCCACGTTGCGAAGATGGATGCCCTGGTCGCGGCGTGGCTGCCCGGATCAGAAGGGCAGGGGGTCACGGACGCCTTGTTTGGGGATTACGGGTTCTCGGGCAAGCTTGCCCGAACGTGGTTCAAGTCGGTCGATCAGCTCCCGATGAACGTGGGGGACCCACATTACGACCCGTTGTTCCCCTTCGGGTTCGGGCTCACGACGAAGCCCGTGAAGGCCTAATATATCAATCCAGATGGGAAGCAAGTGTGAAGAGAGTAGCTAGAGAAGCATTGATGTGTTAAGGACTTCCTTTTTGGGTCATTTTTTTCCCATAAAAGACTGCAAAAATTTTACTTTCATCATTCTATGTTTCAACTGAGAGTTTCAATTTAAATTAGACTTTGGTGCACATCACTTTTGACACTAAAAGAAGATTAGAGAGAATTTTATGTGTGAGCAATTCAATTAGTTCACTAAGAGTTCTCTCAAATTATTTTTTTAGTGTCAAACGTGGTATGCGCCATGGCAAGTCCACTTTCTATTTGATATTTTAAGTTTTTCAATGTACTATTTTGATTGTGAGTAATTATATTTGTATTTTGATTGTGAGTAATTATATTATATTTTGATTATATAAATAAATATTCCACGAATGAGTAGACTTGGCAAAACAGATCGAATTCAATAACCCAAACTGAATAACTCAGAATCAAACCCAAAATAACTTGAAAATCAAAAAATTGAATTAAATCTAAACACCCAAAATGATCTGAACCGAATCAAAACTAGACCAAATGTATTCAGAATCAATTCAAATCTGAATCTGAATTGAACCTGAACTGATTAAACTTGAAATTGATTAGACTCGAAATTGACTAGACTGAATATTGATCAAATTCAAAACAAATTAAACTCAAATCCTGTCAAATCTAATAGCTCATTGGTTGATGTCTTTTTTTAGAAAAACATATTTCAATTATAGGTACAACTAATTTCATGTACAAATCTTTTATTTCGTGTTTTATCACTTAAACTAATGTGGTTGTCTATTTTTGTACAAAGTATATATAACTTATAGTGACATTGTAACACACATTGATGGATATACTGACTCATGATTGTTGACACGTGTATATATATCTTCCTATACACACATGAAAGGGAGAACTCTACTAATATACTCCATATTATTTTAAAGTTAGGTTTTAAAGTTAAATTTAATAATAAATTTTAAAATATGCTGTGTAAATCTTTATTTTTAAATTTTGCATTGATACCTAAATCTCATTGGTTTCTATGACATTGATAACCCTCGAAAAAACCTACCATCTTAGCCCGACCCAAACTCGCTCCCACCTCCGCCAATTACACCCCACAAGATGTAGTTGATTTTGGAGTCAAAATTTGATTCCAAAGTCAACTAAATCTAGTGGCGTGTAATTGGCGAGAGTGAGGGATGAGTTCAGATCAGACTGGGTGGTGGGTTTGCTGGGAGGTTAGGGGATGGAGAGTATCAATTTTTCAAATAAAGCACAATGGAGCCCATGTTATAGATGACATGGGAGTTAATTTCATGAAACACCCCCCTACTTACAAACATAAAAGTTAAAAAAAAAAGTTCCTTGTCTTGCTATGTGCTATCTATAGTGTTTGAGTTCGGATCTCTTAGAAACAATCTCTTCTTTCTAGTAAGGATAAAGTCTGTGTACAAAAATCCTCCCCAGATCATATTTTTTATCAGATCTTAATGGGTTTGTTGTAAATATTTTTTTAAAGTCTCTTATTGAAAAAGATGGAAAAAGTGACAAAAAGAGTGGATGAATTTAGAAATGGATACCAACTATGGATTGGATACCCATTCCACAATGTGTTTGAGTGATGGTTGAGAGTTTCAATCAAAGATAGGATAAATGGTTGATGGGTCTCCGTCAGGTTGTCAATTTTGTCCCAGCCCGACCCGCACTTATTCTCATTTCATACTTTATTCCTTAAAAATATTGGTCTCGTTTAAATTTCTGAAAATAAAACTGAATAAATTTTTATCGACAATTTATCTAAAAAATTATATATTGCATACAAATACAATAAAACATTTTACAAAACTATTTGGAAGACAAATCTAATGAAATGATTCTTCTAATGTTATGCAGTAGAGATTTTGTTTAAATATTTATTCCCTCCATTAGGAAACGATATTTTCATTTGACTTTTTTTTTATCAATGTTTGTAAAACTTAACCTTGATATATGGAAAAAATACCTTTTGTTTTGATATAAATATAATATCAATAGTTTTGTTATAATACGCAATTCTAAAATATTAAATTTTCATAAAATATATACATGCACAAACGTAGATACTAATGGTAAAAATATTAAATTGGACCGTGAAAAAATCAAATAAAAAGATCGTTTTAAAAGGGGGAAAGTGTTATGAGAGAAAGACCAAAGTAAGACTAAAACATTGAAAATATACCAAAATAGGATTTCCATGTTTTTATTTCTAAAATAGGACTTACATTACCATACATAGTCATATACATTACCAAAAAAGTATAGTAATTTGCACATGCACACTGCCACATTAGAACAGAGTAAAGTAACATTACCACAATGCAAAGTCCTATTTCGGGAAAAAAAACATAAAAGTTCTATTTTGGTATTTTTCTCTATGTTTTAGTCCTATTTGGGGTGATTTCTACCTTGACTTTTAAAATTTGTCATTTTTTATTAAAAAAGTCAAGGTAGACGAATAATTTAAGAGTATTACGTGGCATAATCTATTTCATGACATACAAATGCACTTGAGTAATGACTTAATGAGTTAGGTTTTTTTAATGGTGGGACACGAATTGTTTTGTTTCAGTTTGAAAACATAGCCATGTGGCTTAACACGTTGGTATGTACACCCTCCCCCGATAATAATCTTGCGTTACTTAAATTATTTTTAAATTATTTTATACGAAAATTAGTATAGAATAAAAAAATAAAAATTATATATTTAAAAAGTACATGCACAAATTTACAAAACTAGGGATAACATGAATATATTATTTTATCAAATGAGCACCGAAAATAAATCAATAAAGTGAATAAAATTTGATCCAATGAATAATTAATTGAAAATTTATTTTTGGACAAAGGGAGTATCAATATTCAAATACTTTGATTTTTGGTCTACCAAAAAGGAACTCTTGAATTTAGAAGTTACTCTGTAGTTATAAACTAGAATCATAACTCAACTTATTTCCTCGTACATTTGTCCAAAACATCAAAGATAGGGTGTTTTTTATTTTATTTAGAAGTATACATACCCTCCAAATTTATTAAAAAATCACACTTTTGTCAGTCCAAAAATTAATCATTTATTTCATTTCAATTCAATTATTTCTTTTTTAAAAAAATGTGACTCAAATAACTCTTTGAAAAAATGTGGAGTATAACACTTCTTATTCACTTCATCCCAATTTAGATTGTTTGTTTGATTTCTCAAGATCTGTTATGCAACATTTTGACCGTATACAAGTATGGTCACACATAAATAATTTGAAAATATGATATTTCAAGCTGCATTACAAAATGGATTTAATGACATCAAGTTTCCACCACATTATTAATGAATTAACTTTAGAGGGAGTATTTATTTTGAATATGAAGAGAACTTTGTCCATACACATTTATATACTCCCAATAATATAGTTAAAAAAAAGTATATGTATAAAATATTGGGTTCCAAATCGGGCTACCCCATGGCCAAATTAGATCCCAACTTCATAGGTGGATACGAGAATGATATTTGATCCAAAAGCTTTGGGCGGGCTTTGTCCATCCATATATTTAGACAAAAAAATAACCTCAAACCCGTACCGAATCCGGATCAAATTCATATCTGTGCAAGTCTACTTGTTGCACACTATGACTCGAACGAAGCGTCCACCAAAGCGCGCTACGAACGGTCCAACAAAATCCCAATGGACAACTAGTGCAAGTCGGGTTCGACCCGAAAGGGAGGAAGGGGAAGTGGCTAAATCATAGGAACACAATGTGAACTCTGCTACTATGCATTACCAAATATGCAGATCTCACTACCATTGAATGTTTTTTAGTCAACAAGAGAGACTTTGGGCATCTACATTATGTCATTTTGAACATATGTTGAGAGGATTAGATAAGACTCAATGGACATTTTAACAAGAAGCAAAGGGAATAAACTTAAGCTGCATGTTAGATAAGGGTAGTAAGTATCCCAGTGATTGGTGCACAAGCCTTTGCCTTGCTTTTATATGTACCAACCAAAAGCTAGTCAGCTTCCTGCATAAGTGCATTGCAAAGCTAAGTTTTGCTATTGTGAAAGATCAAGTTATACAGTTTATACTCTATATTTACACCAATCTGTTGTTTGTGAGGGTGTTACCGAACCGAGCAACTATCGAACTCTTAGTACTTGACCTCTGATGTCGAGCTTAATGAGCCGAGCTTTGCATCTAAGTACGAGTTGAATTCAAAATTCAAGTACTTATTCAAGTTGAGTTTGACGATATTAGTGTTCGGTTTGATAACTTTTTGAACCCTTTGATGAGGTCCCCCCCCAATCCTCTTCAAAAAAATAAAGTTGCTGATGACCATAAGTTCAATTCACAAGAACAAAAATACGCCCTACATCCCGAAATAAAATTCTCATTTTCCTTTTTCATTTTTCCAAAAATAAACTTACCACTTCTTTACTTTCCATAAAAGAACATGAATATGTGGCTGATAACATTTCTCTCTCCTCTAAACAAAATTTGTCCACATGCTTTTCAATTTCATCAACTTGCTTATACTACGTGAAATTAAACTAAGACTCTTATTTAGCGATGGAGGGGGTAGTACTGAGCCATTCAAGACACTACAGCAAGAAAGTCAAGCTCCCTACAACCCTATTTTATTTCTCATGTGAATTTAAATGCTTTTTAATGAAGTGGGAAAGGTGTGTTTGATATTTATTTAGAATGGAGAAACACAGCATGAACTGGATAAACCTCTCTTTCAATGAAAATAGAGCTGTATGCATTAGAAGAAAAGAGAAGATAAACATGGGACTGACAAAAAAAGTGAGCAAAAGAATTTGCAAATAAATCAGCTACATACTATATAATTGAAGTGGCAAAGCCTGCTAACCTCACTCAGCATTGTGGGACTGATCCTGATCGATAAAATCTAAAGCTTCTTCTCTTGAGACTACATTAACTCGGCTGACTCTGTTTTTGTGTGTTACACCATATATCTTGTCAGCAACTTTCACAAGCTCCGGCCTAAACGTTGTCGTTATAAATTGGGTGCTTGCCATATCCGCTAGCCGACGAACCATATCTAGATATCCATAAGTTAAAGAACAACTATTCTCTACACAGATGCTGATGAAATCCATTTTAACATCAAGAAGAAAAAAATCAATAAACCATCCAACCACATTTTTCCTTCATCAGAAGAGTCTACTTCACTATCATGACTACTTTCTAGGTCCTACAAACCTGCTGATTGTTGCACGACATACAACTAATCATGATTTTTCAAATATACTCACGTGCTAAAATGAAACATAAGTAGAAAGCAGTTGCCATGTGAAAAATGAAAAAATGATGTGAGCCATGTGTGACAAAGTATGTGAAAAACTTTCTGAAGCAAGGAAATCAACAATTGGATCAACGAGAGAGAGACTAAAAAGGATACTTCCAACAGCAGTTCTGTACTGAGGATCCAGTGCAGCATCAATTTCATCGAAAAGATAGAATGGGGCAGGATCACATCGCTGTATGGCAAAGATCAGAGCTAGTGCCACTACTGTTTTCTGACCTCCAGATAACTGTTTCATTGACTGTGTTTCTCCTTGTCCTGTAAAAGAAACCTGTTGCAGAAAGTGAGCTTAAGAAAACACTGGAGCCCAAATCAAGTTTAAAGAATATAGTCAATGGTGTTTTAGCAGTATACAAGGGTGTTTCTCTAAGGCTTATGAAAGAGAAACTTCAGAGGGAAAAAATGCACACCTTCACTTTAACACCAATATATTTCTCAACCCTTCCCTCCACTTCAGCTGCGCGAGGCCTATCATCGTCATCATTATCGTCTTCCTCAACATCCTGCAGATATATGCATTGTTAAGTGCAAGATGAGACTAAACAGTAAGAAGCAAATGAAGTTTAATCACTTTAATGTGCCATTTTGATTGACTGTATTAATCACTCAAAGCTAAAACAATATCAATAATGACACTTTTATGTTTGCAGGCTACTTGCAATGAACTCAAAGGAGTTGAGTCCATTTCAACACAAGATACTAATTCCATTTTATTTAATACACCATATATTTCAAGATGTGTCTCAAACAACTTATGTTATAACTAACTACAGTTAAACCAACCAATAATTTTAATAATATAGCTAAAATTAATAATTTCCAATCCTCGTAGCCTAATAAATGTGAACGGCTGATTGAGTTAGCAGTTTTGAACTGCTTATATTAGCTGTTAAGAAAAATTGTTTGGTAAATTTAGCAGTTCAAAAACGGCTGTTTGTAGTGAAAATTATTTTTTTAGACATGCTTTCATATATGTTAATTGATGTACCATTATAATTAATTTAATTTTTATAATTTGGAATAAAATAGAAATTATTACCTCCGTCCCAGAGTATCTGTCCACTTTCATTTTTACACACCATCCAATACACTTCTTTAATCTATTTTATCTTGTAATTTGTATATTAAAAAATTATTTACAAATCAAACAAGATCACACATGACTATATTTAGGCTTACACATTGAAAGAATTTGATGAGTCAAATTGCTTAGATGAACAGTTCCAAAAGTCAAAACTGGACGAATACTCTGGGACGGAGGGAGTATATAAGTATATTAGTAGTCTCTTGGTCTCGAAAACCTCTTCACACTAACAATTTCAAAGTTATTTATTTTCAATTCTTAATTGCATTAATGATTTTGCAAAATACTCCAAAATAGTGTTATTACTGCGCCTTTTGTTTAAAAAAAATTGTTTAATTTTGAAAGATATAAAAAAAAATCTGCACCTATTTTAAAATAAGTCGAATTAAAAATAACATTAGTCAAGTATCATATTTTGTCTCAAAAAAGACAAAAACTTCTTCACCCTTGAAATTTTAGAATTATTTATTTTATATACAAATGCATGTGTGGTTTTGCAAAATAATAATCACATCAGATTTTATTTTATAGTAAATTTGGGTTTAATATTTAAATATACGGAGTATATTTTGAAATAAGTTGAATAAAAAACATTAGCTAATTGGACAAAAAAATTCTACACGTATTTTAAGGACAACAATTGGAGAGAAAAAACAAAAATCAAAACAAGAAAACAAAAAAGGGCTATGGAAAACGGAAAAGGAATTGAACGAGTGGAGAAAAAAAGAAAGAAAACAAATAAATGGGCTAGAGAGGAAACGGCAGATGAAACGTAGATGAAGGGTAAAAAAATTAATAAAAGAATACAGCTGATTGAAACGCTCATCAGCCTGGCTTTTCTAGTTTCAGCTGTTGGGAACAAATAGCCAAATTGAAGAGCTATTATCCAAACAACTTTTTTAGCTAATTTGACCAAATTGGCTTTTTTTTACTAGTCAATGAGTCAAAGCTATTCCAACAGCCATTTTCCAAACATGCCCTAAATCATGGAATAAAAAAATCAGCAGCATAAATTTACACAAGTGAGAATATTCTTTGTCGCAACGTTATTCCGTAGGAGGAATAATGAGATAAAATTTCTAAGTTCATCATGTGTTTTTCTTACTTGCCATGGTACATATCATGAGACAACGATGAGTTGAGAGAATTATCATAGTAATGTCTCATTACAAGATTGATATTGTAAAATCAACCAAGACAGTATAACCACAGTATCATCCGTAGATTCAAAAACCACCTCACTTTCATTATCTTTTAAAGGTCGCCACATAAACCTCACAAAAAAAGAAATTAATATTGAACTGAATAAGTATCAACAAAAAGGTCAGCGAACAGAAGGTTTTATGCTTGGTTGGGTGGGGTGGTGAGGAAGGTTAGGGGAGTGACTAGTTTAAGGTCTGAATGGTGGAACATAGGGTCCTTGACGGGCAAGTCTATAGTTGATGAAGGCCCTCAAGAAGAGGTAGTTTCATGTTTCAAGCGTTTGGAAAACTAGATGGGTGGGCACCAAAGCACGTGATGTGGACAGGTTCAAATTGTGGTACTCCAGCACTTCAAGGAACAAGAATGAGGTTAGCATTTTGGTTGGTCGGGATCTTTGGGAGCAAGTGGTCGACGTGAGGAGGCTCGACGAAGAGCGATCGACTTGTGGTGATTAAACTTGTGCTGGGTGGGTGCATTATCAATATTGTGAATGATTATGCACCCCCAAGCTGGCTTGGATGAAGAAGTCAAAAGGTAGTTATAAGAGGAGTTAGAGGGGATGGTTCGGAGTATCCCGCAGTCAGAGAAGTACATCATTGGAAGAGATTTCAATGGTCACAAACGGGTTTGCTGCACTGGGTTATGAGGAGATGCGAGGAGGATTTGGTTTTAGCGGTAGAAATGTTGGAGGTTTCACTCTTGGAGTTTGCTAGAGTGAGAGATTTGATGATCACGAACTCTTTCTTCAAGAAGCGGGAAGACCAATAGGTGACTCTCTCTAGTCAAGTGAATGGGAAAGTCGTAGAATGACTACTTCCCAGCGTAGATGTGACAGAGAGCTCTTCAAAGAAGCTTAAGTTATTCCATGAAGAAAACGTTACAACCCGACATAACTGATTACTTCCTCCCGAGTAGGTGTGTCATGGTGCTCTGCAAAGAAACTAAAGTTATTCCAAGCAACCTTACAACCCAACATAAGTTACTCGATGAATGTCACAACCGGGCAAGAAAGGAAGAGGCTAGTTGCAAGTGGACCACCCCGTATTCATTGGGGGAGCTTGGGTAAAGCGAAGATTATTGAGTTAGTTGCTAGGGTACAAGAAAAAGGCACTAAAGAGAGTTGTGGGGAGATCGGCATTATGTGGTCTAAGACTGTAAACTACATAAGCTGCTCGTGAAGTGTTAGGCGTTGTCATGGGTAATGGGAAACAGATAGAGGGGATTGGTGGTGGAATGGTGTAGTTCAAGGAAAAGTAAGAGTAACGTCTGCATAACACACCCTCCCAGGACCCCACTCTGTGGGATTACATTAGGTATGTGGTTGCATAAAAAGGTCAGCAAAAACAAAGCTATTTCAAGATAATCCCTTGGATGTTCTCTTTACTTGAACGTTCAAATGGAAGAAGATCAGATTTCCTAGGCATGGAGCAAGAAAAATCAATTTGCTGGCAAGAAAGCGGGAAACCACAAGATGGGGTTGGGAGAATCCCAATGACATTAGACAAGAAAACCATTCACATAAAAAAAAATGAAATAAAAAGGAGAAATAAATTAAATATCATATGCCTGAAATTTCTAATTTGATTAAACTTTTTCTAATATTGCATGTATGAAAGTAGACCGTCATAAGGATAAGGTGGTATTGAATACAAAAAAAAATAATAGCAATAGATACAACAACATTGGTAGATATGTTTTTATTAAATGGAAAGTCCATTGAAACAACAACCCAGTTGAATCCCACAAGAGTAGGGTCTTTGGGGGGTGTACGCAGACCTTACCCCTACTTGATGGTAGAGAGGTTGTTTCCAAAGAGACCCCTAGCTCAAACACCACAAGTGATCACACACGTAGCCTGACCCCTATGTTTAAAACATGGGGTTGTTTCCAGATGACCCGTGATGGGCGTCGAATGTTGCATTGACTAACTGCTACTTCACTAAAAAAGAAGCACAGACAGTTTAAAGAGCCATTTTGCTTTATTCCAGCATACCCCAAAGCCAAAAAATAATGAATCTTTGGCTCCACCAGAAATGATGGAAAAGAAAAGTCCATTGAAAGAGGAGGGATAATCAATGCATGCCTGGCATTTCAAATAGCACAGATGCAAAGAGGATATTCGGATTAAGGCTAACCTTTTTCTTCATCATAACTAAAACCCCATGGCCGCCTTGCACAAGTTCGGAAAAGACTTCGCGAAAATGCTTTGACACACCCTTGAATGTACGCTCAATTGATTCATCCTTTCTCATATCCAGTACTGATATAAGTTCTTTAATTTTCTGTCAAAGTCAATTCAAAATAACGAGGCCAAATTCATTCGAGGCACAGAACACACAAGAATAAATAAATCTACAGATTGTATATGCCCAGCACACCTCATCACCAGCATCTAGTTCAGCTTGTCTTCTCTGAAGTTCTTCCCTCTGCTCAGTGAAATTTACATACTGATCAAGTGCTTTCTTGTTCACATGGCTAAACTGTTGTAGCTGCTCATTGCACTTGTGCAGCAATTTGTACAACTCTTTTATGTTCTTTCTTTTATACCTATTAATTTCAATATGAAATATGCGCATAGCCAAAAAATAGAAATGAGTATCTCCAGTCACTCATCAAGAGGCATGAGAACAGTGTTTGGAAGAGGAATTGTAGGGAAAAGAAAGGATATTAGTAATTTAATACTCCCTCCGTCCCTCTAAGATCTTCTCGTTTTGACTTTTTGCGGTTTTTTAGGAGAGTTGAAAAAAGGTGAAAGTTTACCATAATACCCTTAATGAAAATGGGTGGAGTGTATTAAATGCGGTAGGTGAGATGTAATAAATAAAGTAAGTGGGGGTAGTTGTGGTATTTTAAGTGTTAAAAAAGGTAATGAGAAGATCTATGGTGGACAAATAAAAAGGGCTAATGAGAAGATCTATGGGGGACGGAGGGAGTATATAATAACAACAATAAATATAATAGTGTAAGTGTGCAACTTATAGCACAATAAACAGTAAATATCTTCAGACCAAAGATATACTCCCAAAATCCATATATTACACTCAAATTATTCATGCAACCTGGTTTCACAGACCTTATTATTCAGCTCTACAACAACTATAGCCATTATTGAAACAGAAAAAATGATCTTCATATTTTGTGCATGAGAGGTCTCAACTCTTAATGCCATAATATACATAAATGTACAGGTTGGCCTAGCCTATCACAGAAACATCGCTGCAGCCGGAGTTACTTTCACCTTTCAACACTCTCTGGAATGCTGGAACATAGATAGCCCTCACCCCTACTTCCTAGATATATTAACCTTATTCCTATCAATACAATACTACTGGGAAAATAAATCTTTATCTTTTAGTAGACAAAATGTATGCAATACACAAAGTATATATACATACGGTGATAGGCATATAGCTAAGCTTGACTCATCACTGAGTGCCACTAGGTTAGGGTTACTTCAGCAACAATACATACACACACGTAAATTCACACACATCTGGAATGCATATCAGAACAGCAGATAAAAGCTAAAAAGTTCATGTGGATATATTAAAAATTAGAGGAAGAATACGTTTCAAATGCATCAGAAGATAATGGGCCCAATTCTCGAATCTTCTTAGAGTACTCATCTTGTTTTGCGACATAGGTGTTCCTTTTATTTAAGAGTTGCTCCAGTTCTCTCTTCTCATCCTGAAGGGTGCCCTGATACTTATCTTCCTGAGCCTGCATTTATATAAACCTTGTAAGCCACTAACAAGGTTTCTGGAAAGAGGTGAGTGGACATGAGGTGACCTAGGAAGAGTTAGGGGTAGACCTGGAAGAGTTGGAAGGAGGTGATTAGATAGGACTTGAGGCCTTCGGACCTTAGTCAGGGTATGACCTTAGATAGGAATGTCTGGATATTTAAGACTAGAGTACTTAGGTTGTCTTCTAGGCCCTAGTGCATTGTCGCTCTTGTCTCTATTTGCTCTATGTGAGTGCCTGATTGGTTTCTAGTGCTAAGGCCGGTTTGTGTGCTTTTTGTCTGCGTGCTTTCTTTCTTTGCCCTTAGTTTGCTCTTTACCTTTTGCCACTACTTTGTTCTCACTATGGCTGTGCTTATGTGTCTTCTTTGTTGGTTTACTGTGATTGTGCTTGAGCTGGGGGTCTCTTCGAAACAGCCTCTCTACTTTCGAGTGGGGGTAAGGTCTGTGTACCACCCTCGGACCTTCCCCAGACCCTACTTGTGGGATTTTAATGGGTTTGTTGTTGTTTTTGTAAGCCACTGACAAAACATTAAAACCATAGGAAGGTAATAGTCATGAAATGCACTAGAGTTACCTTCAATTTGTCTATTTCACCCTTGATCTCCTTGAGCTTCATATTTCTTTCATTTATGTTTGCAGAAACCCCTAAAAGGATTAATTATGAGATGTCAATGAAAATTTCAGAACTGAGAATATTAAGTATGATATCTCACTTTTAAGCTGTTGGTTCAAGCTCTCAATCAATTTATGAGCCTCCATCACTTCCTGTGCCTTTAAATCAGCTTCAGTACTGAGCGCATCAGTGTCTACAGACACTTTGACTGCCTCCAACTCTTGCTTCCGTCTTACAAGATTTGTTGATAACTTCATCTCTAGCTCTGATTTGTTTGTTTCAGTCTACACATATAATAATCAAATGTACACATGGCACAAAAAAAGGAACTTTTGTGCTACTATTCCATTGAATATGTGAACAAACCTCCATGCGGTTAGCCTTGGATGCTATAAGCTTCTCTTTCAGATTTGTTATTTCAGGGTTCAGGCGTGACAAAGATTCTCTCTCTTCTGGTGTCAGGTGATCGACTAGTTCTGTTCCCATCTCTTCATGTTTCATGGCTATACTAGATCTAAGCTGATCTATTTGGGTCAAAACATTGGCCAGTAGTTTCTCCTGTGAATATTTCAATCAGTTCCAAAAACACCATTAGAATGCCACATGCCCACATGCCTTGAGGGTCCTTTCATCTGCAAAACAAAATGGACATAAAGTATAATAATATGGAGCATACCTTTTTCTCAAGAGCTTTATCTATGGATTGTTTCTGCCTTTCAGCATTTGCAATGTCCTGCCTAAACTGTTCTAGCTCAGATTTGTCATGAGCCAGCTTAGCATCATTCTTCTGTTGTTCAGCCACTAGTTCATTAATTTTCTGGTCTATCTGTGAGAAAAGCTTAGTGAAAACACAAGGAACGATTTCTTCAGGTGAATGTTCACACATAAAACTAATGTCCAACAAACTTTGAACTCACAGGGTATGGTAACTGTCATTAAAACAAATGACAATTTTATCAGGAGTTTTAAATCAAAGCCATATTAGATTTTAATTCGACTGCCTGTGCCTGTATTATGGAGCAAGATGGACAATATAGTAGGATAAGACACAACTAGAATAGCAATTAATCCTGTAGAACATGCATGGTAAAAGGCGGCACTTTAAAGAGAAAAAACTCATTCACAAGAGAATATAGCTTTTTCTCTTAAATGTTAGGATCAAATACACAAACCCCCACACATCATGCAAGGTCACTTATATTCCAAAAGGGAAATTTGTGGGACACATGAAAGTATTTCCCCACTTTACTTTTCTAAAATTCAGGATTAAGAATTGGGGAGATGTAGAGAGCTAAAGAACCAAGACAATGGAGATTAAGCTTTAAGCATGCCAACAACAGAGCTAAAAACTTACGGCATAAAAGTAAAATGCAAAGTAAACTAGAAGCTCGGGTGTAAAAAGGATATCTTGAAGCTTTTTCCTAACATCCTCCAATTCATTTTCTTTCACATGGATATCACTATGGTTATGCTTAATAGTTTTCATAAACCTCAGTCTTGAGCGTCTATGGTCATAAAAACCACCAGTCATGCCACCTTTTTTGCTGACTTGGTCGCCTGCAAGTAGGAAATGTGCCAGTTTCTTAGTACAGTAGGCAAACACTGCAATAGTAAAAAGTAATCATAAACCGAGTCACTTAAACCTTCCAAAGTAATGCAGTCAAGACCATCTATGCGGGCAACTCTGGTTGCAACATCTAAATCCCGGCAAATAACGGTTCTAGCAAACACCTAGCAAACATCCAAATCCCAGCAATTTACAATTCAACCTAATTCAGCAAGTAAAATAATTGTATAATACAATGAAAAATTCCCTTCACACTTTTATATTCAGCACTTTCAGAAAATGTTTCGAGTCAAAAGTTCATAAAAGCATGCTATAGTTGAGCTTCATTTAACTTTTTATCTTCAGTAGGATAGCAATACAATGACTCAACTACGGAAATTTATGGGATGTAATGACTTCCCATACAGAGAATAAAGCTACTTTTCATGCATCCTTATGGGAAAAAAGAGAAAAAACTTGCAGAGGATGACACACACTCATGCATCATTATCTCTTTCGGAGTTACAAGGGGTTTTGTTACAAGGGGGTTTTGTAACAAAGGGGTTTTGCAGCATCAAAATGCTTTACAGCTCTGTTTCCATAGAATCCTTAGTCCCCCAAACTTGAAAAGTAGGAATCATTTTCCTTATTCTTCTCTAATATACTCTCGTGGGATCCAACTGGGTTGTTGTTGTTGTGTCTCTAATATATTTTGAAAGTTGAAACTATTGATTTATTAATTTTTTATGCCGTAACTACTCTGAGAAATGCACCAATATAATGCTTAAATAATTAAACCAACAAAGTGATTCAAGGTTGTGAAATCTTATACAGCATCTATACTCATAATTATAAAATATATATTTGTAGCAACCTGTTCAAATGCTTTGGTATGTGTGTCCGAAAACTTCAATTTTTTTAAAAGTGGTATCACATCATTGTTCTGTGGATAAGAAACTTTAGAAGCCTTCACCCTGTTCAGCGGAATAAATGTGACACGCCCACCTTTCTCTGCATTTAGATGTCTGATAATTTGGGTTGATATATCATCATCCTCAACCACAACATGAAATAAGCTGCAAAGAGCAAAAAGAGAACATATATAACAAAATACATTAGCAAGATTATATCAGTGTATTGTAATCACAGCTTTTCCAGTGAAAAAGTTAAAAAGAAAATAATACCTGTTTCCTGCAGTAACTTCAACAGCAGTGAAGAACCGGTCCTCACACTCAAGCAACTCAATTATTGGACCAAACACCCCTAAGATTCTATGTTGATTGCATATCCTCCTAACTGAGTTCAGTCCCCTTCTAATATCCTATAACCAACAAAGATAAACAAGATTATGTACATGTCAGGAGGTTTCAGGGTTTACAGCTTGTTTAAACACCCCCAAGGCCCCAATTATCCTTTTCAATTTTAAATTCAAAGGCACTTAAGTTTATGACAAAGGGAGCCTCATAACAATATTACCAAGATGTGTTTAATTAAATTTTCCTAATAACTGTTTCTGTGAACATGCCTTCCTTCCTGTATACAGCATACCGAATTGAAGGAATTCCGTTTAATTTAAGTAACTTGCAGTAAATCCCATTACAGAAGTAATGCACTTAACAGTTATTTCCATGCTATCTAATACATATAAAATAAACCAGTCTGCTTTAATGTGTTAATGAAAGCACTTTTTCAATATTGATTAAATATGTTACGTCAAGTCAAAACCACCAAACTCAGTGATATATTTGTCACTTCCAAACGATTTCATATTTCTGTGTAGCTATTACTCACCCCAGGAGTTGCATGATCTAGGCTTTTCTCTGCTTTCACAACTTCTGCTTTAAGTCGAGCAATATCAGCACTAAGTTCACTCTCCTTTTCCCACAAAGACCTACACGTCATTCAAAGCAATGCACAATATCTCTCGTGTTCATATCACATCACATGCAAAAAGATTTTTATCAAAAACTTAATATAGATGAAAGATGGGCATACTTCCGTTCATCATGTAACTCATCTCTCTGTTTTTTAAAGGCAGAGTAACTTTGCCGATAACCAGATATGAGAGCTTCCCTCTCTGTTGCTTCATTTTTACGATGCATAATGATGTCATCCTGAGTATTTATGTCTCTATGTAGCTGATTAATTTCGTCACGGAGTTTACTCTCCTGGAGAAAGTAAGCTCAATCAAGATATGGTTCCAATGAGAAATACAATCATTACAAAATGTTGACTGTTGAGAGATGAAGACAAAATTGCATATTACTTTTTTATTGAAATGAGAAGTAAAACAGTGGGCTGAAATATGTCTGCTATAAAAATATGCACTACAAAAGTGTGTGTGCAAAACTGTGCTATGACATAGAGGTTATGATGAAAGGAGCACATTTCCATGATTTTGGCTTGAGGCCTAGCAGTGATCACAAAGCCTTGAAGTAAAAATGCTTAGGATGGCAAGCACTAATCAACCATATATAAACTAAACCCGTGGGGACATGCCTTCTGCTAAAGCAAATGGCAAATAGAAACTTTATGGCCACATAACATATTGACAAAAACACCTTGCCTGTTGTTGGTTTGAGGACAAGATTCTTTCATACTCCTTGATTTCCTTCTGAAGCCATTTGTCACGAGCAGCTTTGTTAGCAAATTGAGTAGCACGCCCTTGTTTTTGATAAAGAATGCTAAGCTGTTTTTCACGTTCCATAATACTGCATAGTAGAAAAGATATGTCATTCATCAACCTCAAAAGAGGACAAATAAAGTTCTAATACTCCCTCCGTCCCTGAATTTATGTCCACTTTCTACTTGGCACTAAAACCAAGGTGAGGTGCAAAATGCCACAAAAGTCTTTAATTTGGGTGTCCTTCACTACCCCACCCCTTGTAGTCCAGTCCCCTGCAGCCCAGCCCCTCCACGGCTCCACCCTCCCCCCGCCCCGGTATCGTCGAGCCGCCCGGCCCTTCGATGTCTAAGACGAAGGATCCAATCCTTGGTAGCAAAGGGCGATGACTTGTCGCAACTCCAGAGCATGCGAGAATAAGCTAGAGGTAATAGAAGATCTGTGGAATAGTGTCTCAGATTTGGAATTCTGATCAAATATCCAAAATCCATTATTGATATAAGTATATAAGCATAAACAAATTGCTTTTTATCAATGGATCAGAATATTTAATAAGATTGGAAGTTGTAGAAACCAGCCAGAGATGGAGCATTGAACAAGAAAGAAATACCTAATGGAGTGAAGAAAGAACTGTACAAGTGTGAATCCATCGTCAATGAAGAAATAAGAACTAACCCATTCAGATCTAGAGTAGGAGATCTAGGGTGCGCGAAGATAGAAAGTGGGTGGAGTAAATGGGTTTGCAATCGAGAGAAGTGAGTAAATGAATGGGAAGGGTAGAATAGTCTTTTTAGGAGTTTTTTCTTAAAAAGGAAAGTGGACAAATACTGTGGGACGGCTGAAAAAGGAATATTGGACAAATAATCAGGGATAAAGCGAGTATGAAATAATTGACAAGAATTCAAAGTTTTCATCATGTGGAGACAAGGAGATATTAAAGTTTGGAGGCAAACTTTGGAGTCTAAAGGTTTCAAACAAAGCAGGACGATGACAGGGTACATGGAGTGCAAATTCAGCAGCATACCGCGTGAGAAGGAAGAGGTGAAGATCAAGTTTCAACCCATTTCCTGGAGGGGCTGCTTCAAGTACCCTGGATCAATCATCCATGAAGATGTCGAGATTGATGGTGATGTTGCTATCATATCAGAATGGCCTGGGTGAAATGGAGACTCCCATTTGGAGTCTTGTGCAACAAAAATGTGCCACTGAAACTTAAAGAGTAAGTTCTAGAGAATAGTGGTGAGACCAACTATGCTATATGGGGTGGATTGTTAGCCAATTAAGGCCACTCACATGAAGAAGCTGAGAGTAGAGATGTGGTTGCTTGTGTGGATATGTAAATATGAGGAGGGAAAAGGTTGGGAACGAGGGTATATGAAACAAGATGGGGTGGCTTTTGCGGAGGACAAGTTACGTGAATCGAGTTTAAAATGGTATAGGCAAATGCAGAGAAAGTACATTGGTGCTTGTGACCATGTGCAAGAGGTTAGATGTGGGGAGTTCAAGGATCAGTAGGTGTGGGCCGAAAAAGAGTTGGGTTAAGGTGATTAGAGAATTAGACATGATTTGTTTATCATTTTATGTAGTTCACCAAGGACATCACCCTAGATAGCATAGTTTGGAGGTCGATGATTAGAGTTGTAGAGTAATTCGACTTGGCTTTCGCATTATAAAATGGAGTTAGGTGTAGAGGGTTGTCTTTGGCCCTATTCTTTTTGCATTAATTTTTACTTGAGCCTAGAGTCTGGTAACTGGAGACCAATAACTGGATTCTATGGAACCTCGAACCTAGTAACTAGAGTCTAGATTATTTTTTTTAAATATAGTCTAGATTAAATATACTATAAATTCATTATAGATTTTAACTGGAAATGGTAATTGGAACCTGATAACTGGAAACAGACTCAAAGCACTAGAATCTGGAGTCTGGTCTGGGTAACTGGACTAAAAGTTTGAAAAGAATAGGACATTTGTAAGTAGACTTGTGCAAACACGGATCCGGGCCGGGCTCAAAACCAAATAATTACCCTTTTAAGGGTGGGCCCAGCCCAGCCTGAATCACATGGCCTAAAAGCTATACCCATATCCGCCCACCGGGCTTCAAGGCTTGTATCTTCCCTTTTTGAGGACGGGCTGACCCTTGTTTGTACAAGTCTATTTATAAGGCCATAGGAGTTTGTTTGTTTTAGGATTTGTGTGCTCATACTTACTCTATCTACCCATTTTTATTCTGTAGTTATTGTATATTTACTGTTTCTCTTTGTTAGTTGATTGTCCTAAGTTTAAGATATCATGTTCTCTTAGAAACAACCTCTCCACCTTTTCAAATAGGGGTAAGATTGCATCCACTCTCCTGAGACCAGGCTTCTGGGACTTTACTAGGCCATTGTTGTTTGTTTGAAAACAAGGAGAGCAAGTTTATCACTAAGATTATTAAGGGAAAATGATATATTGGTATCAAAGGGGAAAAAATAAGGGGGAGCAAGCAAAGAAAAGTTTTTTCATGATATCTTTATTTAAGCTTTTAGAAGGTTACATGGGATTTCCTTTGTGAATTACTGAATTAGGATGAGAAAGCACTACTTGGCTGAAATGTAAGGTACAGAGCACTAATGTATAACAGAGATCACAAATGAGAGTAAGAGATCCTCTACTAATCAATTAGTAAGACCTTTTATACATTTGAATTCATGGGAGCTGGGGCTTTCAAGAAAAAGTTTCAAGTACTCATGCAACAATCCAGGCTGGGTTCACATTAGCATATATACAATACATGGAAAACACTCCAAACATTAGCTAAAAATTTTAGGTTTAGACATGCTCTTAAATGTATTCCACTAAACTACTAGATCACAACTTAAAGGGAAATTAATCTAGCATGTACCACTATCATAAAACTTCTAAGATACTAACTTGACTTTAGAAAGCCATCCCATGTATAAGGACATGCTATATTGCTTTAAAAAAGATTGTACTCACTGCAACAAAAGTCTTACTAATAAAAAGGCTTAATTAGGATATATAAAAAGAGACTGTTTTACGTATATATAGACAATGGAGCTAAAAGAGTGCTTTTTTACAATGTTTAAGTTTTGGGTAGATAATGTATTAAATCAAAATGACGCATTCCACATCCCTTTCTTCTTACTTCATATGATGTTTTGGGCAGTAAATTCACCAATGCATCAAGGGTCTAACAGAAATGGTCTCCGTTTTTATTTTATTTTTCAAAGAGGTAAGGTTGTGTACATCTTGACCTCATACCCCAATGGAGTTGGGATAGGTTCAAACATTAAACCACGTAAATGCAAGAAGGTAGTTGAACATCATGTCAAGCATAGCTTTGAGGATGCTATATTGTTAAACCAAGTGAAACTCTAGGCATACCTCTTTGTTAAATCATCCTCCTCTTGAACTTGTTTCTCATACAAAGTCGTAATCTTATTGAGTTTATCAGATGACACTTGAATTTCCCTATCCAAAAGGTGAAGTTGTTTGATTGCTTCGTCCTAAAAATAAATTGTGCATAAACAAAATTAGGGCCCCCACTTCTCAATCTGTAAGCATGCCACTGCCTACTTATAGTAGCAGTGCATGGTCTACCTTGGCTTTGTAATTCACACTGATCTTCTCCCGAAGGTCTTTCTCATCGAGCTCAAGCTCAGTATGCTTCTTCACAGCTCCTGTTTGCTGTTTCTCTAAAGCTTCTTTTTCCCTGCTTAAAATTTGAATTTCCTTTGTCAGATCTTTGGACAACTTCTCAAATTTCTTAGCGCTTTCGTGTGCCTTCAACACGTCTTCGTACATCTTAGTAGATGTCTCGGAAATTTGATTGCGAGTATCATCAACCTGCAAAAAATCTATATATAAATAAAACGTAGTTCTAATAAATGTCTCAACAAGCCTTAACCAAGAAGGTGCTTGAAAATTTTGTTGAAGTAGCTTCACAAAAGGTCAATTATGGAATGATACTATAATCCCAGGAATCCAATTATCCCTCTTTCAAGCTTCCGTATAGAAATATTTATCAATTCCTAGGAGTTTTCTCTCTGAGATACATATTTAGCACATATGAGTTATCCAACTTCAGGTAAGCGGTGGCCCTGACAGACATTTCTTTAGCCAGCACAAAGCACATAACTGACATGTCTTCTAAAAAATGGAAGAACAATAAGATAAGACCAAGAAAAAGTAGAATACAGTTAGAAGGGAAAAAAGTGTCAACCATATATTTTACAAGAAACATATATCACAAATTACCTCTGCCAATTTCTGCCTTGCGTCTTGAAGTTCTTTATCAAATACACTGTACTCCAGAGATTTCCTCTGTCTGTCGAGCTGTTGATATTTTTTAAGTTCCTCTTTTTCTTCATCGAGCTCTCTTAACCTTTCATCCAAGTATTGCACAACTTGAATTATTTGCTTCCTCTTATTACCTGAACATTATAGGAGTTGGTAAATAGATAAAAGCATATCAGAGACTAAGGGTGAACAAACTGCAGTGTTTACCAGTTTCTTGCATAATCTTCAGACTTTCTCGGCGTCTCTCTTCGTAAACTCGTGTGCCACCAATTTCTTTCAGAAGATCAAGTCGCTCCGGATCTTTCATCAATGTCAGTGATGCTATCTGCAAATCAATACAGGAATGTGCATGTCGCGCGCAAAATCATAACTAAAACAAGTAGAAAGTGCAACAACATCAAACCTTTCCCTGTTGCACAACATAGTATGGATTAGAACGGGAGAATCCAGCACTTTCCAGTAAATTCATTACTTCATTCTTCCTGAAACAACGTTGGGGGGTGGGGGGGTGGGGGGGGTTGCCAGTAACATTCATCAAATGGCTCCAAATAGAACATCACAGTGTGACTGGTGACAGTAAACAAACTCTCTTAAAATGGAATATTAGATACCCACGTGATATGTTTTCCATCTAAGAAATACTCATCTTTTTTTAGCCCAATTGTTCGTCTCAAGCGTACTTCTTCCTTATCAACCTGCCAATAAGAAACTTTGTAAAAAACTAGGCAAAGAACTAACATAATGACAAATAGGTAAGCTTCTTGTCTGTAAATGAAAATACTCAGTAAGATATAACCGCTTAGACATTGAAGCTGCAATTATAGCTTTCGGAGTTCAAATGCTCAAAGTCTCGTATATGGCATATTAATAAGCAAAAACAAGGTAGAATTCACAGACAGTGTTCACGAATTAAATAGAGTTATGGAGGAACGTATTCCTTCCACACAAACTCGAAAGTCTATGGTTGCACCATTTTTTGGTCACTGCAGCAAGCATTTCCATTCCAAGACGGAATCAGAAAAAAACAAAGGGTAATGGTAGGCGCTAATTTGCTGATGAACTCCCCAGTCCAATATTGTACCCAAGCTAAATTATTCAAACAAGATGGACAGTAAACTATTACTCCTCAGTGGCATTCAAACTTGAAATGCAATTAATGTATTAGTTGAAGCAGGATGCAGGACAAACAAGCAAAACGGAAACGCAGACGAGCCCCACTGCCAAATTTCAACTGGTTATGTCAGTCTAGTTCAATACCATAACTAGGTTGAAAGTTGCTCCATACGCCGGTAACAGCAATGAGAAGTAACATAATAATGGCTCTGACTTGAATTGAAGTGTTTAAATAAGCGCACTAAGAAAAATCACCAAGAAAATACCGGGATTCGGTTGTCTGAATTGTCAAACACAATCTCCACAAAAGCCGATAATACTTGGTGGCCTGCACCTTCCTGAACAACAAAAAGTACCATTTCAATGATCCTATAGATGTATTTCAAGATGCCAACTGAAGATGAATTACTAAAATAACTAATCTCTGAAGACCATACATGAAGCAAGGCATGCCTTTCTTCACTGCGCAGGTTATGAAAGAGGTCACTAATGACAAAGCGTATTGCTGAGAGAAATTGCAAACAAAGAAAAAAACAGTCCACAGCAGATCAAAGAGAAAATTTAAACCAAAACAAAAAAGGTCTGAACATATTAGAAAAATAAAATTGAAAATTGTGGGGCAAAACAATTTCAATGTTACCTACCCTGGAAGAAGTTAGACTTGCCAGATCCATTGGCACCAACTGCGTGAAATGAAAAGAAAAGCAATCAAAATAAGTATCTTGTTGAAGAATGAATAATCCAATAAGAGGTATGTGAAAAAATGAGGAGACAAATACTTAAGAAAATATAGTACAAGAATAATCCAAAGAAATAACTTGCATGTACCATGTATCATACTCCCTCCATCCCGGATAAACGTCTCACTTTCCTTTTCAATCCGTCCCAAAATAAATGTCTCACTTCCTTACTAATTTTTCAACACTTTTCTTAAACTCTGTGAAGCCAAACTGGGACGATTAATTCGGGACAGAGGGAGTACTAAATAAATGATGCAATTTCTGAAATAATTGAGATAGCTACTTTATCATCAAAGTCAATTAAACATAAGGGTAATATAAACCTCTTGACTAAGGATCGTTCGATATAACTTATATATAGTACTGTTTAGTTTAATTCATTCAGTTCAGCACTGCTTAGTTCAAAATTACACTACAATCAAGCCATTATCATTCAATTCAATACCATTTAATTAAGTTATGTTCAGTATCATTGAGTTCAGTTCAAATTAGTATTGAGATTGAATCAGTGACTAACCATGCCATAACTTACATCATCAATTACATTTACAAAGAAATACTCTTTTCGTCCCGCAATTGACTTCACACTTTTCTTTTCCATTCATCCGATAATAAACATCACATTTTTATCATGCCTTTCCAAGAAAATAAATATGTGGCTCATCATAATTCTTTCCCTTCTATACAAATTCCAACCACACACTTTTAACTTTTCAACACTTGCTTTAAACCCCGTGAAGTCAAACAATGAACTTGTCCAAAAAAATGAACTCACACCAAAAGGTGAATCAAATGAACAAGTAGAAGTCGTATAACTCAATTGAGCAAACTCTGAAATGCTTAACTTTGAATTTTGGATAGATTAAGTAATGCTTACGTCCCAGTAATCCTATAACATGAGAGAGTGGCACACGAATTCAGTGAAAGCAGAATTGTGTGGTTAATACTGAACCTCTAGGTATAAATTGGTCTAAGCCACATAATTCATAACAAATATGATATGAGAGTGGGAAATTTGGGACAAGCCAAAATGGTGAAAGGGACAAAAATAGTAGTGGGACGACGTGACTAATATATATATACATACACACACACACACACATATATATATCTTGACCTAACATGACAAATTGGTGTCCAAAATGTAAAATAGCTTAATGGACTGTTGGACACGAAGGTAAGCCTTCAAAAACCTGATAATAATTACAATCATACCAGGTGAATGATAAACAGGCAAGAAACAAGTACAAGTACTAAAATGTAAGCACCATAGTGTTCCTTTGTTGAGATTTTTCACAACTAAAATGAACTGTAATAGTTGATGCAGGGTATCATTACCAACGCAGTTCACTTTTGCACTGAATGGTTCAGTAGCTATCTGTTCTCTGTAGCTCTTAAACCCTTCAATTATAATCTGCATCAAAATAAACCCCGCAAAAATGAAAATCCAGACAAGCATGCACTCATTAGAACTTCAGTGAGGCATTCAATGGTGCGTGTATATACATACATGGCATAAATCCTCCAAAACTGGATTGAATTATTTGAAAATGGATGTTCCTGGGAATCAAACACACACACACACTGATAACTGTAGATTAATACTTACCTGCTTTATGTACATGATGATGATGATGATGATGATTACGCCCAAGTATCTGTATCTTCTGCAGCGAAAATTCACAGCTTATCTATATCGCCACAACACAACATTTCGCCAGAACCAAAATTCAGATAGAAAGTCTTGTTAAGGCTAAGCAGACCTGATTTAGGGTTTTTCACCATTCGTTAGCGCTTCGATCTCAAGGGGGCAGCAGGAGATTCAGAGATTGGGAGTATAGCTTCGACCGGAAACTGTTCAGAAATGTGAAAAGGGAAATGTGTCCACAATTCTGATTTCGAGTTTTCAGCTTATTTCCTCCCGTTCATCCCTCTCATCTATATTTCCCGCAACTTCCACAAACTCTTTGTGAAAAAATGATAGTATCTCTTTTTTTATATTTACTCTAATTACATATTCTACTTTGTATATATAATATATTTTTATATTATTTTATTATTTATAATCAATATATTTAATTTCCCGTTTAATTATAATCCCATTTATGACATGCAGAATCTAATCAACCAATTAGTACAGACTTTTTTAACATTATTTAAAACATAATATTGAAATAATTGTTCTAGCATTTGGTTTGCACTATCTTGTACATATACACATTATTTTTTACACTATAGTAATAAGTGGAGCATTTAAAAATGAATAGTATATTGCATATATTGTAAATTTTACCAAATACACTCTGTTAGAGTTGCTCTTAGTTCTTATACATTTAAAAAGGGTATATTTGTCGCAAGCTGCCAAGTTATATGGTACGGGCCGTATGGCGGGCTTCAAAATGGGAGCAGAGGCGCAAAGCAACGTCAATCAAAGGGGCGATCTCCTACTGCGGAGCCCTAGGTGAAGCGAGAACGGGTTGGACGCGATGTGAGAATATACGAGTACTGATTTTGTTTCCCTAAATTGGCAACCAAAACAGCCTTCCCTGGACAACTAATTCAATGACGAATGAAGGGGGCTGCACATTTCTTGGACAACGGCTTCATGCGATTTCTTTGCTTATTGGGGTAGTATAAACATTGAACAATCTTGGAATGAACACTCCTTTATTTCACATTGGGCACCTCACTGAGTAGCCTTGGTTGAACACTAGTTTATTTTAGAATGAACACCACATTCTTTATAAATTAATATCATAATTGTAATGAATAAAAGCGTGAAAATAAACACTATGCTACTTCGGAATAAATACGTTATTCAAAATGAACATTTACATAGTGCACATAACTCAAGGTACACCCGGTTGTATATTATCTATTCTTTATCATTATTGTTTTTGTCATTCTCTTATTTGCACCAAACACCATGTTCTCTAACAGTATCATTGTAGCTCTCAAAAATGGGATATTACATGTTCAAATGTGAGTGGAAATGAGTAATTGTGTGAACTTCAATTATTCGAAGAAAAAAATATGAACATGATACTGTATTATAAAAGAGTTATTAGTGTTTAAAAAATATCATTCTATTAACAACAACAATTTATTAGTGTGAATAACTCCCAGGTCTCACATTTTTGAAATATACTCTATGGTCCCTTTGAATTTTTGGTAAAAAATTTCAGATCCCACATTATCTGAAATATACAAAGAGTTTTTAAAATTTGTAATATTATACTCAGATGGTACATTATCTCAATTTAGGCATTACATTAAAAGTTATTTTACTCAGACAAAATGATGAATTTTATTTTAATTTAATAAAATAATGATTATCAATGTAAAGTTTAATATTTTTTAAAATAACACAAATTTCCATTATAAGGGTCAAATAAACGAAATGTGCCTTCAAAGTACATTATCACAAATTTTAAGAAACACAGAAGTATATTTTAGATAATAGATCATAGAGTTCTTACTTGGAAATCAAAGGTACCTTGGAGTATAATTTAAAAAATGTGACTTGAGATTTATTATTATAAAATCAAAAGTACCCGATAGTAATTTTTTATTAATTTTATCTCAAAAATATAAATTGGACAAATATTTTGGAAGAATTAGGGATACTACTCCCTCCGTCCCTAAATATTTGCCACACTTGTATTTCCGAGGTAAAATATTAAGTTTTTTCAATTTATTTTAGTTACATATTGGTATAGAAATAAAAAATAAAATTTACATATGAAAAAACTACATAAAAAATTCTTCAAAATAAAATTTATGTAGAAATAAATAAAAATTCCCGCGATTGCTGAAAAAGAAAATGTTGCAAATAATTTGGGAGGAGAGTTTATTAATAAGGAGCAGGCCCTTCTAGGGAATCCGAATAATTCTTTCGGATCTTTCTATTCCACCCGCCACCACCAAACGCCATCGCCTCTTTCATTTTTTCCCTCCGGCTTCATATAGCTCGGCGGAACATAACCCTTACGGGCTAGATCGGTTCGTCCCACCCTAACCCATTTTTTATTCTTCGATTCTGATTTGTAAAGATTAATGGACGCAGCCGTGGAGATCGATGTTGAAGAGCTCGTCTGCCAAACCAGAGATCTCTTTACCCGAGATCAGGTTCAACTTTTTGTTTTTTATCCGGTATCGAATTATGATTCATGTTTTATTGTTTTTGCTAGATTTGTGTTCAGATTCGTGATATTTTGAACTCTTGGAATCAATAAAATGTAGAGATCTGGGTTGTTGATCTATTGCAATTATCATTTTTCATTTTCTCGTGATTAGCAGATGTTTTTGTGTTAAAACTTTCAACTATGCTTATTTCTTTGATTAGTTCTGAATAATTTCACACCATTAGTTTAGCCAATAAATTTGATGTCATCTCCCAATCATAGTTGGGATTAAGGTGGTGATGAAATGATGATGATTTCTGTTTGGGAATTTAAGTTTGGTGGTATTGATATGGGCCTGAATTTTCAGAGAAAAAGCGATAGCACTGATGCGGAGGTTCTTCACGTTGGATACCAGAGTGATCATCATGGGATGTGTGCAATTTGCTTGAATAAGATTGTGCTACAGGAGACTGCTCTTGTGAAAGGCTGCGAGCATGCGTATTGGTTAGTCGCTCTCATAATTGTTTATATTTTGGCTGCACTAGAGATGACAATCATCGGATCCTTGTTAGTAACTTTAGCAATACAAATGGATGACTAACTATGTTTTATGGTTCTTGACCCTCATGCATGCCACACACAGAGTTGTCTTCTTTTAGTCATGTTGTGAATTTATTTGGTTCTGAAAATTGACGACACTATAATAGTCCCTTGAAAAGAATGTTACGAAATTCGGATGGATTTTTAAAAATCACATACAGAGTATTTTTTTATCCAAAATATTCTGGAAGGTTTGCAGGCCTTGTGGCTATTTTTAATATTTCTATGCATTGTTTCTTTATAACGGGGAGATTTATGATTCGGGGTTTTCTTATTCATTTGGAATGGTCATTAGTTCTCGATTATAGAAAGAGATATCAATGCTTGTGTTTTATTGTCACCCTCCCTCCCCATAAAGAATTAAACATTTTCCTTGTTTGTATGTCTCAAAGAAACTTCACACTTATCCCTTTTTCGTTTTAAAGAAGTTAAGAAAAGAATTGGTGGCTCACAAGTCACAACAATTCTCTATTTTCAATACATTCCAACCATACACTATTCCCTTTTTGACATTGATTTACATTCTTTGAAGCTAAACAGTGAACTTCTTTGTTGGGCTGATTCGTATCTACTTATTAAACATCTGACTACCAATTTAGTTGTTTTGAATTCAGGACGGGATAATAGCATGATTATCTAGCACGTTGCACTCATTGAAACAATTATCTTACTGTAATGCATGCAACCTGATTATCTGTCATGTTGTATATTCATAACGGTTCCAATGACACATCACTTAGGCAATGTGTGGAACCATTCACCGCAATCCTTAAATTGTGTTTTTCTTAAATTGTTGTCAAAGCTAACATTTTTCACACTATTGACCTCTATGTTCAGTGTGACTTGCATTCTTCGTTGGGCGGCTCACAAGAAAGATCCCACATGCCCCCAATGTAAGCACCCATTCGAGTTTCTGAACATCCACCGTGCTCTTGATGGAAGGTCAGTCTGGCCACTTGCATTTAAAATGACAAGATATCATATCATTCCTTGAAAAGGCTGTATTGTTTTGTTCTGGTTAAAATATATATGCAAGATTCGATCACTGATTTTGATTTCTTCGTATCTTTGAGCTTTGAATTTGGATTCTTCTAAGAAAATATGCCATGTCTTACCTCAACAGCATACAAGACTACATGTTTGAAGAGAGCGTGTGCCTTCTTTTAAGAGCAACGTGGTTTCGCCCTTTGGCAGGGGACGAAAAACCAGAGATTGATGAGTACACGGATGACTTCTACCTGTACGATGAATATGAAGAGGAAGATGATCTTGACGAGGCTTACTTATGCAGCTCATCTGGTGTTCGGTTAGGCAACAGGAGATGGGGAGACAATGGGTACGTAAGGGCTGGCAGGCAAGAGGTCAGGCCCGCCAACCGACCCAACTATCGAGACTCGGATGCTGGCCCATCACGTCTGGCCCAGAAAAAGGAGCCCAGCGATGAGTTGGTGGGGCGGCGGGCTAAGAGGGCCATGAAGCGGGAAGCTGCAGAAAAGGCTGCTGCTGCTAAGCACCAAAAGCATTTGGCGAGGTTGGGCCGCGACAAGTGACCCCACCCCGACCCCACCCCCTCTTGCACAGCCCATTGTTGCCTGACCTCACTGAGAAAATAATGACATAACAGTTTGTTTTTAGGTGTTTGTTTTAGGGATGGATGAACAGGATCAAACTCTGTTATACAATGCTGGGTACATTCTTAGGGTTAATATCATCAGATTATTACTGTGTTAGTTTTTGTTTATCTTGTGTTTTCATCGTTACGTTCCTGCTGTTGATATATGATGATTCATGAAATAAAAATGGCGATATGGTCATTTGAAGTAAGAGAGTATTTGCTACATGTATGTATATGGAGTATATATATATATATATATATATATATATATATATATATATATATATGTATATACACATGTATTTAAGCCTGCCCCTGCATCATCATCATAGTCTTGAACTCTTCAAAGTCCAACACTCCATCTCCATTAACATCAAACATGGTGATCATAGCTCTGCACCTCTCGGTATCAGCCGCCTCCCCGAGCCGCCTCATCATCTTCTTCAAGCTCCTCGGCGTGATCTCCGACCCGCCCTCCCCCATGTACATCTTGAATGCTCCGAGCAGTTCCTCCTCCCTTGCCGCCACCTCTCTCTCCTCCTCCATCATCTTGGCAAAGTCCTCCGGCCCCAGCAGCCCGTCCCCGTCGGAATCCGACAGCCTCACCGCCATCTCCGCCTCCTCCGCCGTCAGCTCCCCTCCCACCGCTCTCACCCCCCTCTGCAGCTCCGCTGGTGACACCCTCCCGTCCCCGTTCTTGTCGAAATACGCGAAAACTCTCCCCAGACACTCGCCGCCATCCATCATCTGCTTCGTCCCCTTTCTTTCCGAGGAGATTCCCCCGCTGAATCTCGAAAAAGATGGGTTCTTTGAGTTCCTCGAAGAACAGAGTGCGTCTTGTTCCGCCATTGGTGAGAGCTAATTGAGTGTAGAAATCACTGAACCTCTTGATTTCTTGAGCTGGGAAATCTGAGTTGAAATGAAATGTTGATTGATCTTTGACACCCACTGATCAGATCGAATTTAGATGAGTTCTTGAATTGAGATTCAAATGGAAGATGATGATCATGGAGGTTGGAGGCCATGGATGGGTGGGTGTATATATATATATGTAGAGGGAGGATCGGGGAAATTCGCGGCGGTTAATGATAACGCGTCCGGAAGCTTCGCGGCGGGTTCTACTCACAGCTGCGGCGGAGATATTTCCCACTATTCAACCAATGGAAGACTTCTATGATTCTACAAAAAAAAATCAGTTTGAAAATTTGAAAAGGAAATGTATAAAGTGACCAAAATCTCTTTAGAGCAACTCTAAAGGTAAAATGTAAATTTAGAAGGTATTTTGCTCATTTACCTTTTCAAAGAGGTATATATACTTATTTAAAAAGTTTTTGATTCCAATAGAAAAAAGTAAATACGGAATTTAAATTTTTCAAAATAAAGGTATTTTAAAGAAGGATGAAAATTGGTATACCTCTCCAAAATTGAGAAGGTAAATATGCCTCTCCAAAATTAAAGAACATATAATACCTTTTAATATTAACCTTCTCCATTAGAGCAACTCCAAAGGAAGAAGGCAAAAGAAAAATATTTTAATCTTTTACTTTCTCAAAAAGGTGATTATACCTTCTAAAAAATTATTTGATTCTAATGGATAGAGGGTATTAGAAAAGGTAAACCTACTTTTCCCAAATTAAAAGACATTTTAGGGTTAATTTCAAAATTTATTTCTTTTTAATTTCTTGTCAAATGTTCCTTTTCTACAAATTTTAGATTAATGAATTGGGAGATGAATTTAAGGCAATCATAGCAGCCGCACAAGGGGAAGAGACGAGTCCGAGTGCCATTCTGTATGGTTGCTTTTTTGTCTCCCTCATCCCCAAATACAAAACTCTATCTTCACTCATCTTTCACTCCATTTGTTTCTTAATTTCATATCTCACAATTCCGTCTAATTTTGAAAATAGAAGATCGACGATGCAGCGGAGATTACTTGGCTTTGGCATCAAATATTTTACCTTTTGTATTTGAGGTAAAGATACCTCTCCAAAATAGAAGAAGGTAAATTACCTTTTGATTTACCTTCTCCATTGGAGGTTTGATTTGTGTGAAGAAAAGACAAATATGACAATTATGGTATCTTACCTCTTCATTTGCCCCTCCCATTGGAGTTGCTCTTAGAGAATAAACTTATGTGACAAGAAGGTTAATTTGACAATTGCTATTTTTACCTTTTGATTTACCTCCTGCATTGGAGTTGTTTTTAGTGGAATAAGTTGATACGATTCGTTTTTTTAAAAGTAAAGATAAAATTATTATGTAAACATCTATTTTTTGTAACAATAAATAAATTTTCCGAAACTAAGCACAAAGAAAAGTAGATGAATTGATCGAGACCAAGGGAACATTAATTTTACTCCACGTAAAATAAGACAAAGTAGAAAAAAATACCTACCTCGGAGTATTATTTTTATACTAAAAATTAATATAATAAAAATATGACGTCTATTATTTATTTATTTTTATACTAACAATAGTTAAAATTGTCAACATAGCAAATTTTTAAAATTAATTTCGTACTTCATGGAGTATCATTTTAGCTAAAAATCAATCAAATCCATATTTAATATATTAGCCATTTCAAACATTACAGCTTGACAATTTTGTCCATCACATAAACAAAGCACATGATGTCATTTATGCCTAATTATCCGCACGTCCCAATTTAGTAATCCGTATTTTGTGGAACATTTTCGAAATAAAATATATAAAAAACTAGTTTTTCTCCTAATCGTTTTTCGAATTCAACAAATATTCCCATCCGTCGTCGTTCCCGATAGGGTTCCGATTCCCTTTAGATTCTCCGGCAAACATCAATCGGGATTCCGATTAACTTTTCCGATTTGATCGCTATCTGGAATGTTGATTCATGGCCGAGCAGCAGGGCGCGGCGAATAGGAAGCCGCTGCTGCGGACGATGGATCGGGCGGGGAGGGAGAGCGGGAGGAGCGAAGACGGCGGATTCAGGCGGGGAAACCACCGCCGGTTCGGCGAATTCGCCGGCAGTACAGCGGCGGAGTGCGCGACGGTGTGCTGCTGTTGCCCCTGCGCGGCGCTGGATTTCCTAGTGCTGGCGTTGTACAAGGTCCCGGCCGGCCTGTGCCGGAAGGCGTGGAGGAGGAATAAGCGGAAGCGGCTGCTGATCAAGAGGAGGAAGATGCAGGCGTCGGAGGGCGCCAGCACCGCCTCTTCGCCGGCAGGCGCCGAGACGGAGGAGATGTATGGGTCCCACGAAGAGGCGAATTCCGACGAATTCGAAACGGAGATGTGGGGCCGGTTCTACAGAGGCGGGTTCTGGAGGAGCACGTCGGAGAGGGAGGATTGATGTGTACAGTACATTTATTATACAACATTATCATTATTATACAATTAGCAGAGATTAAAATTGCAATTTCATGATTGGTTTGTAAAGGTGTTTTTGGTTCAAGTATGGGAGGAAATGATTGGAGTGTTACATTGTTGATTTTTTTTTCTTTCTTCTTCCAATTAAACTACTTTTATACCAAAATTTGTATTCAAATTATACACCGAATAATCTTTGGATGATACCCGAAATGAGAGAAAAGAAAAAAATAAGAAATAAAAAGATAGCAAAGAAACTTGTGAGAAAATGAGAAGCAAGTATAAATAGAATAATGGTTATTTAGATGATGAGAAAATGGTGAGAAAAAAGTGAGAAGAAAGAAATGTGATAAAATAAAAAGATATTTTTGTCCCTTTTTAGATTATGATAGATTAAAATATGTGCATAATTGTAATTTTATTTTTTCTCGCCATAATTTACCCAATATGAAAAAACTTTTCAAATATATGAATATAGTTTGTTTAGAAAAGAAGGATCTTATTGGCAACTCATTCATTGTATTTTGTATGAAAACAAGACTAGTTCATGTTGAAAATAGTGATAAAAGTGTTAATTCAATTTGGGACACGAAAAGCTCTTAACCTGAATTGCATTAAAGTAATTTCTAAATTCACTTTTTATTTAAATAAAAATAATTAAATGTCATACATAATATTCGAAAACACTACTTTGCATAAAATATTGGAATTATAACATTGTACACTCTACAATGCTCTTATGCTCATTTATACAAATTCAAACAATATTCAAAATTTTTTTATTTAACCCTATAAAACTTGTTATTTGCACATGGATTTTTTTAATAAAAGTCTATTTTTTAATATTTCTTAAAATTCATATGGAGTGCTAATTTAAGGGAATACTTTTATGCAATAAAATATCCTTCGCTTTTGAACTTGTTTGCAAAACAAAATAAAGAAAGAAAGACTTTTTAAAAAAATAAACAAAATACGGAGTACTTCGTAAATACGAACAAGTAAAAACACCCAAAAGCAAAGCAAAAGTCCAAAGTCCACAGGACTCCGATTTCATATTTTCTCGATCATCTAATCCCCAATTTCACTTTGTATTCTGCATCCCAAACCCTAGACTTCAATCTGTGTTCAATCATTCTGCTCAGTTCGTGATCTGCTCGATTACTCACCCCTGAGGTCAGTCTTCCTCTTCGTTACTAACTTTTCTCTCTTCGTGTTCCTAATTTCTGTATAACTCTGTAATTAAATTCCTGATGAACTGGGGCTCTTCATATTCTGCTTGGTCATGTCGCGATGATCGGATTATCACTTTGCTGGATTTGGGGCAGATCGTTTCTTGTTTTAAGTCTTAGCTTTGGTTTTTTTTAACTGGTGTTGTGCTCTGCATTGGACTATTCCTTGGTTCGTTTTCATGCGGAAAAGACTGTAGATGATGAAATCAACATTGTAATTATGATTATCTGTGGTAGAATATTCAATCCGTCCCCAAAACGAATCAAGTTTCGAACTAATTTTTTTCCAAGAGATTTTTTTGGATCAAATGAGCTAATTTTTCTTGTGATTTGCCAAAGCGAGTCACGTACATGGTAAGTAAATTTATTTAACCCAACAATACAGTCTAAAAATATTAGTATGATTCATGATAGTTGCGTGAAGTTTTGAATTAGACCTTGTTTGGGAACAACATTTTCGATTAGCGCTAGCATTTCGGATAAAATTTTAACGGTGTAGATTAATTCTCAAAATGCTAACGCTAAAGGCTGCCGCCAGATAGCCTTTTCAAAACGCTTAGTGCTAACCTCGAACGTTGATGCCAAACGGGGCCTTAGTCAAATACCAGTTCTTTTTTGGGTCAAGTGTTGCCTTACATGCAAGCCTAAGTCACCTAAGAAGCCACATGTACTACTCTATACAAAAGGAAAAAGCTTTTAGTGGGGTCTTTGATCTTTAATGATACCTTCAAGTTAGTACAGAACTTTACAACTGGGTGTGGTATGGTTGAACTGTATGTCCAAATAAGGGGTGTATAGAATATTGAGGCTTGTCATAGAATTTAGGTGTAGGCTATGGTTATATCTCTTCTTCATTTGTTCATAGTTCATGAGTACATACAGATGGCTAGCTATGCTCATGGGCATTTGTCTTTGTTTCCTTGATACTTTCAAGCATTAATCCTTAGCATTTACCTCGCACCACAACCATTAAAACATGTTCCATTTGTATTTAAATGTTTAATCTTCATTTGTTACTCATTATTTTATATTTTGTGCAGATGGAGGATGGAGACAAGCATCTGTGTTCAGCTGCAGCATTCGTGGCAGGTGGAGTTCAGGATGCCTGTGATGATTCCTGCAGCATATGCCTTGAACCGTTTTGTGATAGTGATCCTTCAACAGTATGCATCGGGTTTCACATAATATATTATAGACTGCTCTTACTAATTAGTAATTACTAATTTACTATTTTATCAAATGATCAATGAATTATTAAACACATAGTGACATTCGTAGTAATTATTAATTTTCATGTAATTTTCCAAAAAAAAAAGTGACATACGAGTTACATACGGTGTATGACTTTGTGATAGTGATCCTTCAACAGTATGCATCGGGTTTCACATAATATATTATAGACTGCTCTTACTAATTAGTAATTACTAATTTACTATTGATGCCTCACTGGGTGCAGGTAACTGTTTGCAAGCATGAATTCCACCTGCAGTGTATCCTTGAATGGTAAAGCTTTTTGTACAATGTATATGGATTGTTCTTCAAAAATTTGCTTGGGATGTGATCCACTTTTTTTTTGAGTAATTAACGGAATTTGAAGATTGAGAACATTTTCTCTTACTAAACTTGCTAATAATTTCATCCTGGACATTGGCCCTTGAATGTTTGTAAAGTATATTTGCAGTGTTAGTACTTAGTTCTCATTTACAGGTGTATAGTCAGTGAAGGCTGTTTTCTCCATCAGATTTCTAATAGTGCCCTGGGACCTAACTTGTACTCCCTTCATCCTTCGAAAGAGCTCCAGAGCTCTACTTTAAAAGCTTTTTTAGTGTAAAAAACAGAAGAAGAGAAAAAGAGTCCTTTATGATCAAACAAATCAATTATTATATTTTCTGTAATTTGCCAAAAAAGGGTTGCAAATTAGTTAAATGCGGTAAATTTAGGAAAGCAACAGAAAGCACGTGTGTAGAATTCCATGACTTTTGAGAGTTGTACCTTCTCAAAATTAAAAACTTTTGGTTGAAACTTTTATCACTATTGAAGTATTTCTGGCTTTGTACAAGAGTTAGAAGACAACAAAGTTCTCAATGGGTTTGATTACTTGTTTTACAGGGGCCAGAGAAGCTCACAATGCCCCATGTGTTGGCAGCCTCTTAGCTTGAAAGATTTGAACAGGTATATTACCTTATCCTGCTACCTCACCTTTCACTGGTATATCTCCGGATACTTTTATACTTTTCTGGGTAGTTTTGCTGACTTGTCTTTTTGTGTGTAGCCAAGAATTATTTGATGCAGTAGAGCAAGAGAGGAACATGAGAATGAATCCCCCCAGGAACACTACAATTTTTCATCATCCCGCTCTAGGGGATTTTGAGTTGCAGCATGTTTGTATTATTTTTACTGATATTGCACTAAAGTCCTATTAAGTTGCATGCTAAATACTCGTTCTTTCTCACAAAGAGAACCCACCATTTCATTTTGATCTGTATCATTAAGATAGTTCAGTTTCTTCATAAAATAATAACCCCCCTCCCCCCACCCCCACAAAGGTCTGGTCAAATTACAAGATTGCTCCTAAAGTTTATGCAAGTTCATTAGTTTTTTTAGCAGAGCTTTTATTGGGGAAATGATCAAACATCCGGAGATGTAGATGTAATTAACTATTTATTGGGGTATTTAATTTTGTATTTCTTAGTTTATTTCGTCCACATTAGAATTTAATATCAGTATACCACTACAAACTTACGTGAGAAATTGTTAACTTCACACGTTGTAAATAGGGGAAACCCATTCATAATTAACTGTTTCGACTAACTTGTCAAATTTCATCTCTTTAATGTTTGATTGTCCTAACTTGTTTTTCTGTTTTCTTGAGCCGAGGGGTCTTTCACTTTCTAACTTTATAGGTAGCATAAAGTTTGTGTACACCCACCCTCATAGACCCCAGTGTGGGGTCTTACTATTGTTGCTGTTATTCAAAAAGATAGTGGACTATCTTTGTGAGATTTAGAGTCTATATTATTGGTGTTTATGATTATAATATGCAGATTTCTTGTTGCAGTTACCCGTCAGTGCCACTGATTCTGACCTTGAAGAGCGTATTATTCAGCACCTGGCTGCTGCAGCAGCCATGGGTAGGGCACGTAACCTTGTCAGGAGGGAAAGTCAAAGGCCTAGAACATCTACTCAAGGTCAGCCCCATTTTCTGGTGTTTTCGACTAATCCAAACACTACTACCCAGAGGATTGGAGGGGATCCTACTTCTGCGCTCATGGCTGCTGACCCAACATCTCCAATCATTGCAGTTGCAGAAGGCTCTGCCCAATTGATTACGACACCGCTCCCGTCCCAGATGAATCAGAATCCTGCTGCTGGATTAGGTGGCAGTGGTGGTGTTAATTTGGTTGGAAGCTCTCCAAATAGTAGGTATATATGGTGCTTTTGTTTCAGAATATTGAACCTCAAATGATATTTGATTATTCACTGATTATCGCAATATGGTTGTTTTTGTCCATGCAAACATCACATTTTTTTTGGAAAAAATATGGTTGTTTTTCTCCATGCAAACCTCTCATTTTTCGGTTTTAGGTTTTTGAAAAAGAATTACTTTTGTTATTCATACCTGTATTTTATGTTCTTTTCTTTTTAGTCTATTTTGTCAACCTCTGGAAACAATCTCTCTATCTATTTTAGTTGTGGATATGGTCTCCGTTTATCTACCCCACCCTGCTTGTGGGACTAACTGGTTAGGATGTTGTCATATGTCAAAAAGTTAAAAACTAACTTGGTTTGGAGAACTCATTCCTGATTTTTCAATGTTATTTTTTTCTGTAAATGCTTGATATTTTATTCCAAAAGAGCATAGAGAGTAGAGAGATGTACATTTTAAGTGGGAATGTTGAGATTTTCTTAGCCTCATATTTCCGTATAGTAGTCTCCTACTCTCCTATGAGTTGAAACGGGTATTTAGAGACCTGAGTCAAATTGATATTTTAAACGGGGGTTGACAGAGATGGAGTAAAAGAAGACGTAAATTAGATGGAAAAAATAATAACTTTACAGGCAGTATGAAAAAACATATTTAAGACTTCTATTTATCCTGCCATTTGTTTGTATGTTTGATATTCTTTCTTGTGTAGGTCTCCACCCTCGTCTCCTAGTAACCAAGACGGAGTTGGACCATCTGATTTCCAGTCTCTCTCAGAATCTATAAAATCACGATTTAGTGCCATGTCAATGAGGTATAAGGGCTAATTTTATGGATGTAAACATTGTGTTTCTTCCTTCTATGTGATCATCACTGTAATCTTATCTACTCGTATGATATTTTCTAGATACAAAGAATCTATCACAAAGAGCACCAGAGGTTGGAAGGAAAGATTATTCTCTCGGAATAATAATAATAATTCTACTGAAGGAAGAAACGAGGCAGGCACCGATGCTCCTACTGTATCACACGTGATCTCAAATGGAATGGATGGGAATATGACGCCAGATAGTGCGGGGCATCGCCAGATTTCAGCAGTTGATGGCAATCATTCATTGACCCAGGGTCATAGGGAAAATCCATATACTGCAGGGTCCGTTTCAGACTAATAACTTTTTTGCAATGTGAAGTCGTGCACGATGAAGAATCTTCTCTCTAAGGTATCTGTACCTTTTGAAACCCATTGGTATATTTATCTCCTTAGTTGCACACCTTTATGTGTTGATACCATGAGGTTTAGTTTATAATAAGCTACTATATGCCTAAAGTTAGCTCTAAGAAACAAAGCCCATGTCAATAATGTCATATCTGATTTAGAAAAATTAATTTTCATGTAATTATACGTTCCATATTCTCCGATGGAGCCAAAATTTCACCATTTTTTGGCTTTGGGGTGTGATGGAATAAATCAAAATGGATCTCTAAACTGTCTGCGCTTCTTTAATGAATGAAGTAGCAGTTAGTCAAGCAATGCAACTTTCGACGTTGAGCCGGGGGTCTCTTTGGAAACAGCCTCTCTACTTTCGAGTAGGGGCAAGGTCTGCGTACACACACCCTCCCCAGACCCTACTCTTGTGGGATTTAACTGGGTTGTTGTTGTAATTTTCCAAAAAAAAAGTGACACACGAGTTACATACGGTGTATGACGTACTCCCCGAATAAAATTCGTAGTTTTGTTTACTTGTGTGTTTTGTCTACATACGGTGTACGATGACTTTGTTTACGTATGTGTTTTGATTGATCATTTGATAAAATAGCATTGTCATGTACTCATGTCACTTCTTGTTTTGAAGAGCTTTTAATGTTGTTTTTAAATACGTAATTTCTATTTTTTATTTCTATACAAATATTCAAAAAAATAAATAAACTACTCCCTCTCCTACCGGGACCAAAAAACTACTCGCTCCGTTCAGATGACCAATGTTTTTCTCGTTCATAATTCACAAGATCAAACTAAATCTACATTTTTTAGTTTTTTCTTATATCATATGTTTAAAAAACATATTTATGTCACCTCCTTTTTTGTATAACTTTTGATGTAGTTTTTAATATGTAATTTCGGCAAGGCTATAATTACACCCAAAATGGGTGTCCATATTATGACACCTGTTGAATTGAGGCTCCTATAATGGCTCGTTCGAAAAATTGATGGTTCCTACCAGCCCTAACCCCCCTCCACCCTGGAAAACCCCCCACACTGGCCTGACTTGAACCCACCCCCTGCCCCCGTCAATCGTGCCCGAAATGTCCCTGTTTGGGAACTTGGGGATATCCCGACACCGAATTTCTTAGCAAAACTTGGAAAAGTTAGTGTTTACCATCTCCCTACCCCGTCCCCATATGAGTACCCGTCCTGATCCCAGCCTCCTTGCCACTCTTAGGTGGTGGTGGTGGTGGGGGGCATGTCGTATTTCTTTTTTTCTTCCCTTTTCATCAAATCACTCGTCCAAAACAACAGGGTTTGACATAGTAATATTGCCATTTTATCTGGTCTCCTTGATAATTCATCTTTGTTGATGTTTTACTTAATTGCCATTTACTCATTGGGTCATATAATATATGGTTGTGTTTACAGGAGTGATGTTTTTGCCTGTCATCTGGTCCTTTGGTTAGTTTATACCCGCATTTCAATTGCAATAGCCTGCTGCAATAAGAAAGAAGAATCCCGTTTGGGTGTTCAACTGTTGGGCCAGTATATGTACGTATACCTAGCGCAGATATGTATAATGTAAATGTTTAATGATGTGGTCAACCTTAAGTTGGATGGACTCAAAAAGTAATATTTTTTTGTGTCAAATTCAATCAAAATTGCATGTGATTTCAGTCTCTTCATTCCTCATACTTTGCTTGTGAAATTGTGTTTTTTTATATTTATTTTGATTGCGTGTTTGTGTTTGAGCCAGAGGGCTCTTAGAAACGACTTCTTTACTTTCGAGTAGGGATAACGTCTACCTGCACGCATTCTCCCTAGATCTTATTTTTTGTGAGATTTTACTGGGTTAGTTATTGTTGAGTCTCTTTGTATCATATACTAACTCTGTCCCAATGTGATCTAGTTTTCCTCTTTGGACTGTCACGATGTATTTGTCCACTTTTTGTTTTGGGCAAATTTGTGCCATATGTACCAATTCACCCCCTATTTAGTCTAAAACTCACCCTACCACCAAAAGGGATACTCCATAGCTTATCTCTCTTTTCTTTTTTCGTTCCTCAAACACGAACATGGAGCACATGTGGCGGAGATGTTGCCATCTACAAATTCATATTGGCCACATTTTTTGCGGTTTGAATGGAGTTTCTGGGAATGATGATGCCAGCTCTCACGGCATTGGCAATGGAAATTTGGTTTACAGTGAAGGGTAAACATGACCTTTTGTGTTTGATAACATTTATAATAGTAATAAAATAGAGTGAATCTAATGTTTTGATGGGTTGCGACTATCACCACACTTTCTTTAAGAACCTGTTTCGAAGCAAGGTAAAATCTTATTTTGTTGTGAGTGTAGTTATTTAAAATGGTACTCCGTAAAATATTTATCATGTTTTTTTGAGTTTGCAAAATAAAACTCGATGGAAAAAACTAAAAAGAAAGGCAAAAATTCGTAAACCTTTATTTTGCGGAGTACTAGTGAAGTTACCACTTGTAAAATGAAGTGGCAAACAATCAAAACGCCTAAAACCATTTTTTTTCCCCCCTTTTCAGCAAGACATGTTCACCGGCAAACTATCACAACGGCCACACATTTTTTTAAACCAAGTTGTGCTTTAATTTCAACATTTGAATTATAGATGAAGCATGCCGTTTGAATTATGTAGATGTTTGTTTTTTTACTTCGTATTATATTAACCAGATATAGTATTGTGCCATTTCATTTCAAAATTGATACTTGTATCGAATGATTTTGAGGCTAATCACTGGTTTGACACACCAAACTTTGAACCTAGTTAAGAGAATAGGATGTTCAGTTGAGAAAAATGAAGCAAATTTCATACGGTTACTTCTCCAATCTCCAGATAAGTCATCCTTCGAAAAACAACGTTTGGGGAAAACTTGTGCTAAAAAAAAAACTCCCTTTGAAGAAAAATATCGATTACATAAGAACAATTAGGGTCTGTTGGGTACACAAAATTGACGGAATTAGAATTGAATTAGGAGTTAAACCTGTTTTTTACAGGTACAACACCGTGAAATTAAGTTCTCCAAATCCAATTCATTTTTAGCACTACCAATTCCAAAATCACATATTTTTGTGTTACCAAAAAGCAAAATTGAAATTGTTGTCCTCAATTCTAATTTCATAGTTTGAATTCTGTGCACCAAACAGAGCCTAGAGTAATCTCGATTGGAATGAGCATGTACAAAAAAAATCTTTAGAAAAAATAAAATAATAGGGAGTTATAGAGTATAAAAAATGAAACTGAATGTAGTAAAATTTGAAGATGGAAATAGTAAACCTTCTTTTGTCAGCTCAGAAATAGAGAGGATAAACATTCCAGATGACAAAACATCAGAAATTCATGCCAATTACCAGCCTTGTGGCTGCAAAGTATCTGTAAGCACATACTTAGAACCCAATCACCAAAAGTAGTGATTCCTTATTGTTGGAGAAGAAGAGAACGCCGGTATCAGCGTTTGGTTGGTAGCTGCAAAAGCTTTTAAGACTGGCCTCCAGCTTTATTCTGCCACCATTCCAAGAACTTAGCTTGCGCATTCACGGTGTTGTACCTGTAAAGCTGATGCCAGTGGCTTCCGATTTCTTGTCCGAACGTCCAACCACAGATGGCGCCAAATCCAAGAGACAATAAAGCACCTACCACCCCATCATAGATCATCAGCAAAGATGGGAAGTGTTTTAAACTTCAATGTGGAATGATAGTAGCAGGGCGAAAAAGACCCACAGACATGGATGCGTTTAATTTATTTTACATATGGTGCAGAATGATAAATAAAATTTATGTTGTACTATATCTTAAAACTACATCGAAAGTTGTACAAAACAAGAGGTGATATGATTATATTATTTTTATTAAATAGAGTAACGAATATAGGCAAAAAATTGGATGGGTTTACCAGTGTGAATTGTGAACAAGCAATGGAAATTAGGACAGAGGGAGCAACACTTATGCCAGAGAATTAGTCTCTAATAATGGGAATGCAAAATGAGCTACCAAATTTCAAAATAGAGTTATCATAGATACATATAGAAAAGAAATGGACAAAGTTTTCTCTTATGTCTAGTGAGAACTACTTTCAGTGCATGAGGGTTAGCTACATAATCCTTTCTCTGTATTGTTCTCCATTAAGGGCTATATTTACATCATCAATTCAACACAACAAATAAAATTAATGGAGTGTTAAGCTTCTAAAAGTATTGTCCACTGTTTCAATATCAAATTGTCTTCTATGGTTTTGCTTTCATACGCTGACAAATCCATATGATCATTTCTCTGGAATTCATTGTGCGTTATATGAATGGCTGTTATGCACCATAACTTATTTTGATTTATTTATTTATTTATTTATTTTTGATAGAACAAATACATGTAGCATTAAGTTGTCACAGCTGTAGCAAAAGTAAGAGACAAATATGTTGTGTGGTATTATCAACAATGGTGCATTTCTCAAGTTAGCAGTTAGACATCATCCTAACACATCACAACCAACTAAGTGATTCAGCAATGACATAGATTTAATCTCCAACAAGAGTTTTAAAGGCATCAATGTACGTGTAGAAAGTTTTAAGAGGAATTAAATAGGTGAGTGAAAATGAAATTTTTCCCAAAAGGGGTCATATATTGTTCGTATGACTAACAAGATGTTATTTTGTTCCCAAACTACTTGACCATCTTCTTCTCCATTAGGCATGGTCCATTAGTTAAAGTGAGTAACAAATACTGTTACGCAGTATAGAAACATTTTCCCATGAGATAAAACTTACCATGGGGACTCTTAGAATACCTCCAAGCCCAACCAGTAGTTGTCACACCTCCAACTATGCTTCCAACAGCACCAAATTTAGCCACTTCTCGAGCAGTCTTCAGCTGGAAAGTGGACACCTCTCATCAGCTCAACGTATTCAAATTCATATAGGCACCAAATTAGAGAGATTATAGTTTTTTTAGTACTACTAACTCTATTACAATTGTAGTATCTGTTCATATATACTTTCTCAACCTATTGAAGCACCGAGGGATGAGAGTTATCGCCACCACTAGGGATTGAACTCGTGACCTCACATTTAGAAGAGCCACCATTGATGCCATTAGAGAGATTACAGTTTTTTTCTTTCAGAAACTGACTAAAAATACTAACTGTTCTAATTCCTTACAGATGAGAGAATAACAGAGATAAGATAACTCATCACCCTAAATTACTAATAATTGAAGGTACTACATGAAACTGAAAACAATCTGATGCACATAAAGACAATATACCTAAGGTGTTATGTTATGAACTAATGATAATAAATCTGTTCACTGAGATAAAAAATGGCAAAATTTTGTAGCAAAATTATTAGAAGAAAAAAAAAGGTGCAAACACATGCTTTCAAAGTTGCCATTCAAATGTAGAGTGACCTGGTTAAGATGAGCGTGTTCATCAATATGAAATCAACAAAGACATAATCACATGCAATTGGAGATGGCTTCTCGGAGGCCGTATCTCCACTCAATTTCCAGAAACATCAAATCATCAAAGGCAGCAGATACGAGAAAGGAAGGCAAGCAATCCAGACGGATAAAAACGCGTAAACAAATAAACAAAACCGCGAAGAAATCAAACGATATCCGAGAGCACAGCTAAGGATCTATACCGCAGGGCCGTGAACGGCGTCAGATGAAATGAACTCCTCCACGTCGGCGTCGGTCCAGGAAGGAAGAGGCTTGTCGCGCTTGAGGAACCTGGAGTAGCTCTCCAGGGAGGAAAAGAACTCCGGCATAGCTTCACGATTGATTGAAGGATCGATATGTGCTATTCTGCTCCGCCGTTCAACGGTTGATTCAGGCAAAGCTTGTGCTCCGATGGCTATGGAGCTCCGGGAGATCTGGATTTGGGGCTACGTTGATGAGATTTTGGAGTTCAATTCACACAGTGAGCTGATATCTATTGGCGACACTATTTTTTGAGATTAGTTGTAATTAGTGAAAATTAGACTCCCTTTAAGTTTTACCCATATTTTTTGATGGCCTAGTTCCATGGCCACTAGATTCCAGTGGCCACGAAAGCTACTGTCCCTTACGGAGCTCCGTTCATAAAATTGATGATTCCTACCCACTCTAACCCCCGGTAAACCCTCGCCAAGTCCCAATCCAAAGTAATCATCCCACCTACGTCAATTGCACCTCGTAAGTATAAAGTCAAAACTTTTGACTTTAAAGTCAATTATACTTACGAGGTGCAATTGACGTAGGTGGGGTGATTAGTTTGGGTCGGGACTTAGCGGAGGGTTTACCGAGAGGTTAGAGTGGATATGAATCATCAATTTTATGAACGGAGCTCCGTAGGGAGCAGTGGCTTCCGTGGCCACTGGAATCCAGTGGCCATGGAACCGGGCCGAATTTTTGAACCAAAGTTGTTTTTGTACCCCATATTACTTTTATAATTCTTTCTTTGTAAGAATAATTTTATTTTGCTAGTATAAACTATGAAATTATAAATCCTTTTCTATCCGTCTTTCGATATTGACGAAAATTCACTAATTAATTTCTATTCGCTTCAGGAGCGAAGGAACTTGCCCGAATGGAACTGTCGCCTGTGAAAATCGAACCTAGGTTACGCTCGTCTTGCCACTTGAGCTATCTCTTTGGATTAGAGTAATTTCATTTTGACATTGAGTTTGAACATTGCTATGTTTTACACGCATATATAAATCATCACATTGTATCGGTTATTGCCAATTTCTGTCTACGAGATAATGATAGTATCAAAGCTTACGGCGTGATTGATGTGATTGTAGTGTGGCTCCGTTCATAAATAAATACTCATCCCTATTTTATTTATTCTACCGGAGTATCATTTTGACTATCTACAAAATTAAAATAAAGAAAAAAAGAACAACCAAAATTGTCTCCTCCAAGAAACAAGAAAATTGCCTATTGATGAGTGATAGAGATAATACACACTCTTAGACAAATATACTCACCATAAGATAATGTTGTTTCATCGCATTCTCTATTGATCAATTGAGATTAAAATTTTATTTACCTATTCTTAGATAACTATCCAAACCGAGTCTGAAAAACCCTAATGCAAGAAAGACCAATGCCATCTTTGCCCTTTGTTGTTTGACAGCTACTCCCAAAACTCATTGAGACTTTTCATTTGTCACTGGTACGAATACTAAGAAATGATAATTAATATAAAAAATTACTTCCTTTGTCTCAGTGTATTTGTCAATTTTTTCAAGTCAAACTAGATAAACTTTCTTCAATTAAACAAAAATTATTATGTATATTAACATAAAAATGAAAGTTTTGAAAGATCTTAATAAAAGAGAGGGAGTAAAAACAGTTAAAACTAGTAAAAAAAAAAAAAGACCAAGACTAGTACTACATTATTAACTCCATGAGGGCAAAGTATAATACGGAGTAACATCAGAATCAGTGATCCAAACAATGCCAAAAAAAATCCAGCAAGTCACAATTGATCTACTCTTCTAACACCAAAAAAGATACCAGAGTTGAAACGGCGGCGGCGGTGGCATTCATTATCAAGGTTTGTGGTGGTGGCGGTGGTGGCATTCATCGCTTTCTCTTGGAGCCACCGCTCTTTTCTGCAGCTTTAGGCGCGGTTACTTTTCCTCTTCCTCTTCCGGCGGGTGCCTTCTTGGCACCTGAACCAGAAGCTTTCAAATCTACGTTCACTTCGATTCCTACTCGCAGGTAAAAAACGGAGTAAGACAACGTGACAATTTCACAATCCGAAAGTAGCGCAAATAAAAAATCGTCACCTACCCTTTGAATTGAGATTTTGAAGATCTGATTGAAGCTTTTTCTCGGGATCCAGTGCATCATCTGACAAAAAAAATGAGCACGCAAATTTAAATTCGCCCGAATCAGAAAAAATAACGGTAGTATTAGCATCTAAGTTAATGTGGCTCTAATACACTTATCTTGCCAAATCATTAGTTTATATTGCATATGTTTCATCTTTGCATTAAGTGTACCTTCCTCTGTGTCCGAGTCTTCATCTTCATCTTCTTCCAGTACGTCGTTCTTTCCCTCCTCTAGGGTTTCATCAAGGGGCTCCAGCATTGCAGCAACCCGCTTCTTCGGGGCCTTCTTTAACCCGGGAAGGGTTATTAAATCAGCCGTCCGTACCACCCGGGAGCTGCTTCCTTTGTTATATGCTCTTGTTAGAGCAGCTTTCACTGCTGGCTGTATTCCCTCCATTGGATTGGAATGCCCCTGGCAGGAAAAAAAATCCCAGTGTGGAAGTTTATATTCATCAAATCATCACAGCTAAGAAATTTACAATTCACAAAAAACAAAAAGAAAAAGAAATAGAAAAAAGGGACCTGGAATTTGGATATCTCCACTATACTATCGAAGTCGTCTTGGGTTATTGAGTATGAATCCATGAACTCCACAACTTTTTCAATGGCTTCATCCTGCAAATAAATTTAACCTTCTAATAAATACATTTCCACGAAGTTCTTTTAGTTAGAAAAACATATTAAAAAAATATAAATATAAATATAAAGATGGGGTAATGTCTAACCTTCGACATTGTTCGTAGTGGATCAGTGATTTTTTTACGAAGAAGAGTCAAGTAGTCAAGTCTCAAAGCTCTCCTGAAAGTGTGAAATATGTACAGTATTTTTTTGGGGTAAAATAAGTATGCATAATATTGAACATAGGGCACATGGAATTTTTTTATAGTAGGCATAAAGATTGCAAGAGTGACCACAAAATCATCTTTTGGGTGTCTATTCACAAAAGCAAATTTTTGTAAGATCCAAAGAGAAAGTAAATGTTAATTAGAATGAGTGATACAAGAGATAATGTGATATTGATGTATCGCGAGCATGTACCTCTCCAAGTTAGATTCAGAGGATGCTAGCATATGAAAACGCAAGTCCTCAAGAAGACGGTAATTCTTTCCCCTTGTAGAGTTCTTCCCCAACCAGCTTCCAAACCGGTTGAAGTTGCGTTCGCCCTGTTTAAAAACAGGCAAAACAAGTTGGTACTTGCTTGTCTTCTAATTCTATTTCTGCGTACCACTCTTATACATTAATTAAAGAAAATGACTTATTTAAACAATCAGGCAATATATTTCGGCTACCACACCAAATAATCAAATGTATTGGGCCTACACTTTCCTACAAATGTTGTGGGCTTTGTTTGGCATTATCAAGTGAACACACTCAATACGAGTATTAGCGTCCAACCAAATCCTTCATTGCAACAGCATATAACTGAAATCTAGTCAATTTGTTTGGTGGTAAGGTGTACAAAAACAGAGAGGCCATTTCCAAGCCAAGCACAGTAGATAGAAATACTCCCTCAGTCCCTAAATGGATCCCACTGTCATTATTATGGCTGCTCGATAACTTTTGTTTGTTTGTGGATTTTCATTGATCATTTGATAAAGCAAATTATTCTTGTCACCTCTTATTTTGTAGAACTTTTGATAAATTTTTTAACAGTGTAATTTATACTTTGATTTCTATATCAATTTATAATTAAAATAATTTTCAAAATGATGAGATTTTGCACGTTGTTTAGAGTATGGTATCCATTGTGGGACGGAGGGAGTATTTAGATAATTGCTTTGAATGCTTGAAAAATATACAAATAAAGCAAGTTCGAGTTAAAAGTTAAATATTACACACAAAGAACATATCACTTTATAATTGAAAAGAGTAAGTGAATAATGACAGTATAACAGAGAATCACAAATATACCTGCTCTAGCACTTCTCTACGTCCATGCAACAAAGCAGCACTATCTCACACAAAAAAAGTTCATATAATTCCAAGGTGAATTATAGAATGAGAAAAACCATAATATAGTTATGCAGTACTGAGATTAAAGTTGTGATATTTTACGGTATTATTGAAGAGGCCAAGGAGCCCATTTGTGAGAGCTGCCACTGTTGAAATCTTCTAATCTGTACATTCACTACATCGCCATCAGCAATAGACTCAGCAGCACGAGCAATCAAACTCATCCTTTTCAATCCATTATCATCTTTCCCGCCAGAACTTGGACAATAATTGATATAATTCTCCTACACATTCATGAGATCGTGTCATCAACCATGTTAGGCACAACATAGACTACGACTCTACGAGACAATAAAAAAGGTCAGTGTAACTTAAGACTCCATCACCAATATGTAAATAATCTAGAAGCTGTTAAAATGATTCTTCTTTATCCGGGAACTGAGTCTTACAATCAACTACACAAAACATATAGTAAACTAGTTATCATTCAGTTACTGCTGTTTGCAAAATCAAAACGACAATTGTCCCAAGTATAGAATTAAAACCACATTGCTGAAAACATGGATCATAACCAGCTAGATCATTAGTCATTATGATGGATACTTATTTTCAGATAAACACAAAGTTTCTACAATAATGTAAGTCAACAGTTTTCAAGTCAAGAACATTATGCCAATGTTTTGGGTGTGTCAACAATAACCTGAATAATAAGAGGCACAAGATCAGGATCACTCATGCACAAGCTAATACGCTCATCTATCTTTAACTTCCCAGCGTTAATACCAAACAACCTGCATGATGGAATATACATGCAATATCAGTGAAGGACACATCTTTGAAGAAATTTAAAAATAGAAGTGGTCAAACTCTATAAAGAAGCTTGGTTTCATGATCCGTGCACACTGGTTCACTCATACTGAACAAATGAATACGCTATTTTATCTTATTGTTGTACCACAAATGTAATGTACATTAATTAGACCATCACCTAGGAATATGCCAAGATTAGTGCAACTACAGTATAATAAGACTATCACTTGTGCTCCAAAGACAACAGAAGGAGCATCGCTGATATACTTTTGAAAAGTCCATCAATACATTCTACTTGTACTCTTAAATTTAGGGTCTAAACCACAATGTGACATTTCTTTAATGTACAGGATTGAATATGAAGTAAACTTTACTACAAAATACGAAGCATTAAATATGAACATCATACACATCAGTTAGTCAAACGTGAGAGAATGCATCTTGTTAAGCAGACCAGAAAAATGACCATGATTTTGTGATGAGACATTGCCACTAGCCCATTACATAGAGCAATATACATGAACGCATGGCCAATATTGAATACTTCGTACTTATCAACTGCCGTAAAAGGTGACATGTCTTCATCCTTTGAGCTGGTTTGGAGGCGCTGTCGGACATCATCATAATTGATTACAGACTTGGAAAGAGACATATACTGCAACTGGTTCAGTGCCATGCGCATGTCACCATTACATCGTTCTCCCAATTCCTCAACTGCGACCTTAAAAGAACAAAAACCAATGATTTTAAACCAAAATAACAAACAGAACATAGAAACGGGCACACATGGTAAAAACTATTACAAATATGACCATGGAATTAAGTAACCATGTCTGGCTAAAGCAAAGATAAAAAACAGTTTACTTTTGTTCTCCTTTACGAAATAAAAAGAGTTTTAACTTTTAGAGATGGACATTCTTCTAATCTTATTGAGACACATTCAAGACTGCTTCATAATTTGTTTCAGCTCCGGGCAAAGGATCCTATCCTTTCAATGTTCTCTCATTGAGTGTAATCTGTGTAAGTGTAGAGATAGTGGTAAAGTTTTGATGTTGTGAGTCAGCAGCCTTTAGAGCATATCTTATAAAAAAGAATCGTATACGACAAATATACAAGATAGATGCCAGTTCAAAGATAATTGGATCCAAATAATTAAAAAAAATCATACTCCGTCCGTCCCTATTTTGATTAAAAATTGCGGAAAACGTAGAAAACTCCCAAGTTTTTTCAATTCATTTTATTTAAAGATTGAGACAAATAAAATATAAAACTTGCCTATTTAAAAACTATATCAAAAGTTTAAAAAAACAAGAGGTGACAAGAATATTGTATTTTATCAAATAATCAATGAAAAGGCACAAATAAACAAAAGTTATCATGATTTTGGAATAGTAAATATTGTAATCAATTGTGGGACAGGGAGTATAAGAATACCACGAAATAGAATAAGCTTCAAAATGAATCAGAATGACGTTACATTGATAAAAAAGGAGTATTTTGAACCCTACGCTATACAATTGCATGAATCAGAATGATGTTACGTTGATAAAAAAGGATGTTAACAGAGCTATAGCTTTAAAAGGACACAAATAAATTAATGGTATGTTTGGGAACTTGGATTTGGATTTCAAATCCGGATTTGGCTCAAATTTCATGTTTGGGAAACTTAAAAAATTTGGGTTTAGATTTGAGTCAAATTCCTCTAATTCATAACAAAGCTCAATTTGAAATCCATATACCTCCCCTTGTCATTTGAAATTCAAGAATTCAAATTTTGGAATTGAAATGCGTGTATTGAAATGAAATGCCAGTTCCAAACACTACCTATTTTTACAAAAGTACTACACTCCATAAATCAAAAGACTAGAAAAGTACCGGATTAACTTGAAGGCCCTCGTCTTTTGCAATCTGTAATAACCTCTTTCCCATCTGCAATTTAATAACCACCAGAAATGATTCAAATGTAACACGCAAGTACACAAATCAACAACAATGCTGGTATAATTGCAACTTTGTTGGGGTCTCGAGGGTCAAGATGCAGGCAACCTTATCACTTTAAAAACAGAGAGCCTGTTTCCCTTGGACCTGTGATGCACTGATGCATTTACTGCCCAACAGTTCATAGAAAGTAAGAGCTATGAAGTAATGGAAGTTTAATGTGCCAATTTGATTTAGTCCAATGATTACCCAAAGCTATCACATTGACAAGATTACTCTTTTAGCTCCATTGTCAATGAACCATATACAGAAGAGGATTATCACACAAATTTATCGGGGAAGAAAATTCAAGCTAAAAGAATTCAAAAGAAGACCTGTTGCTTTGTGGGTTTCCTGAAGCTAAGTAGTAAACAATAGTTGACAAGGCTCTTTAGCTTCTGACTGTAGCGGTCATTACAAATGCAGATTATAGGTATTTTTGAGGTTTTGATACTAGCAATAAGATCGGTCACACCACCTCTATCTCCACCAGACATCCCATCAACCTCATCCATTATCAGAACTGTTTTTGAATGTGGAGAGCTGCATAATCCAACCACTAAATAATATATTCCCAATTTTTCACATGTCACACAAATGACAAGAGGAGAAGTACTGACCGGACTCCTTTAACACTAAGAGATTCGTTACTGACAAGCTCTTTTATGGAATTAGCCGTACTTCCACCAATACCCTTCACAATTTTGGAATCAGCCTTTCCACGATTGTCGCTAGCATTAACCTAAGAAAACTCTTAAAGTTAAAATTAACCATGAAGGCTAACAAATGTGAACACAGACATCGATATGAACTGTAATCCATCTATTCTCACCTCCACAGCCTGGAACCCCAGCTTTTTACAGACCAACTTTGCAGATGTAGTTTTCCCTATACCAGGTGTTCCACATAATAAAACAGCTTTTTTAACAACATCATTCTGTTTATTTGACTTCCCTTTCCCCTTGCTACTATCTAGGAACTGCTCATTCCAATGTGTAAGCCAATCTTCGAGTTGTTTCACCTGTATTAGTTAAAAATGTTGGCACGTATGTACTTTGGTAATTTCAGAATCCAATGCATGCAGCAAAGCAAAGAATAAATACAATAAAAAAATAAAATCTTAATCAGCAGATTAGTTTCTAGTTTTTTTTTCTCTCACAGTTATGCTATGCTTCAATTGAGGAATTTGGAGGGAATGGAGAGCAAAATTTCCTGAAAGTAAATTTTAAAACAAAGGAAAAGAGAAATTACAAGTCTTTAATTACGTTTTTTATTCTTTTATCTTACATTGCTTTCCTCTTCTTTAATTTTTTAGCCTAGCTTAAATTTAAAAAAATACATCCCTCCCCTTTCCTCCAAACCCTTAAATCCAAAGTGTTGAAGTTGGGGGTGATGTTTAAAAAAGAGCAGAAAGAAGATAGAATTATACCAATGACTGGTTCCCAACTAACTCGTCTGGATTCCTTGGCCGGTATTTTTCTGTCCATGGCAAACAAGAATCTTTTGAAGATTGGTTTTTTCTCTTGGCAGGAGAGGTGACCCTGATGTGCTCTTTGGTAGCTACGCTTTCTGCATAAAGTGTGTGATTTTGTAATAAAAACTTTTACTGCAAATCTGCAATACATGGTAAATCACGAGAGGTGACTGGTGTGCACTTTGGTACCCATGTTACCAAAAATGATTCCCCAAACTCATTCTATAAACCCTATAAACTCCTTTACTCTTACTCCAACACCCTCTAGTTTGGCGACCATTCCCTCCCCTTTAACTCCAACAACTTCCCCTTTGTTTGGATGACCGCTGCAGGCTGCAGGTCTCCAACAGTCACAACCCAATCTCTGCTGGTCCCCGGCAAAAGGGTGGTAGAGATGGAGGTGGTGGGTGAGGGATAAACAAAAATCGTTACTCCGTATTTGATTACAGAATACCAACAAAAAAATTGATGCCATCTATCATACCTAATCTCATACCTTCTAAAGCCCATTCGAGATTCCAAACCCATACAAGAAAAATGAACCAAACAGTCCCTTCGGTCTATAATCAACAATAATATTTATTTTTTAACAAAATATACGACATATGGAGATTTCTCATAGAAAATTATTCTTCGAGAACCTCTACCAACCAAAATCAGGTGTCCAAAAGAAAAAAACTGTTATTTCAGCCACCCTGAGACAAGGCATCAGGAAAAAAGAACTGGATATGTTTCCACTGACAGAGACCATTATATTTGATGTACTCAAACATATAATATGAATAAATTGTACAGGATATAGAAACATACTCTTAGGTTCAGGATTTTTTGGGCTTTCATCCTTTGGAGAAGGGCGAACCTCATCTTTAGGTTTCTTGGGTTCTTGTGTTTTTGCTTTTTTTGATGCGCGGATCATGTCAAACAATCCATCTTCAGTCATAAAAGTAGTGCTATATGGAGAAAACGAAGAATACAAAAAGTCATGAATACTTCATGTAGAAAGAAGATGCAACGTCATTCAACATGGATACAAACCCAAGTTCCTTGGCCTTTTCAGATTTCCGCCCCCCAATATCTTCATCGCAGAGGAGGTAATTCTGTAAAGACACATTATTTATTATAAACAAATATAAACACTTCAACTTCTTAGAAAAATAAAAACATATAAGAACCCATATTTAATGATGACCGTTTTTTTGCTAACAGATCCAGTAACACGACCACCATGCCGCTTTATCAAATCCTCGGCTTCTTCTCTTTCCAAACTGGAACCACATAATAAAAAACAGAAAATAAAATCCAGTCACTCGGGCAGGTTACCAAATACCAATCAATTAGAAACAAGATGGTGTCAGCAGAACACACTAGCTTGACATGAGTTACAGCACATGACATCAAGCACTGCATACTATGCATTCTTTAATTTCTCTTTCATGATGGAAAAGAGGGGAACTGAACTTTCCACTTTCAAAGACCCAAGAAAGAATAGAATCCACATCATGATCAGAAGAAAAACCATATGATGCATTCTTTGTGTTGTTCTGGAAATAGTGGACATAAAAAAGGTCTGGACCAGACGGGATGGTGATGGGGAGAGAGCTAAAGGTAAAAACGATAGCAGGAATGACAAGATTCCTTTGAAATGGGACCCATTTAAAGCACCTTCTCCACCAAGACACAAATAGGATGAAACTAGAAAAGGATGACCAAAAGCAAAACCATCCCTACCTGACTTTTTTTCAAACAACCACATTTAACAGTGTGAATATTAATCAAAACCACCACAATATAGATCAAAGAAAAACAAGCACCCCGGTTGGAATAGGGCTATCTCCTGTTCAACTTGAATTTTAGCAGACAAAATATCATGATATTATACCTGTCCAGAGTCCCAGAAATGACAAACGTCAACCCAGCTAAACAGTCTGGGGCACCTTCAGGGACTTCCTGACAAACAGATCATTTTTTTGTCAATGAATATGAAGTGTGGGAAGAATAGCAGCCTCTAAAAAAGAGCCTACCTTCTCCCCTTTGTGAGGAGGATCTTTCCTTTCGCCAAAACTCATGAATCCACCCCTTCCTCCACCTCGGCCTCTTCCACTGGCAGGAGCTTCTGCAGCTCCTCCTCCACGACCTCGTCCGCCAGGCTTTGAGGGTTTTATATCCTTTTCATCAGTTTCATCATCATCACTTTTATCAACATCTATCTTCCTCCCACTCGCACGACCTGCTAGTGTAGTTTTTCCACCACGTGCCCTTCCACTAGATTTTTGGATAGGCATGGTATCCTCACCGTCGCTGCCGCCACCATCATCATTGTCATAATCGATAGATTTTTTAGGAACACCGCGGCCAGAACCACTTTTTATTTTTTTGCTAGGGGTGATGTCAGCAGAACGCTTCCCAAGTTTAGGAATGACAAAATCATCATCATCATCCCCAGCTTTGTGGACTTTCTTATGAGGGGGTGGCTTACTGTTGTCAGATGATTCTTCACTATCTCTTTGAGCCTTTCTCTTGGAAGACAATTCCACAACCTCCTCTTCTCTGGCATTATCTTTTGCAAAGTACTTACTAGTTTTCCTTCTCCCTGAAGTTTCCTTTCCTTCCCGGAGCTTTACCACACCGAAAGGAAAGAAAAAGAAATCATTATAACATTCAGATCAACTTCTGTTATAAGCAAAAATATGCACTATCACATGATCTTGACCTACTTTCATCTATATACATTATCATCTGGCTATGGTATATGGATGCTATCCATTGTTATAATATCGTGCATCCAATGTAACAAGTAAATCTATCAAGATAGTATTAACCTAAAGGTATGTAAATGGAAAAATCCCCCACCCACCGCAATACCATTTCCTGATCACACTGTTTTTTTACTGAGTAAGAAGTAAAAACTAACACAGTAACACTTAACATTGACTAGTGTTGTGTAAAATATTAAAAGGTAACATTTTACACAACTTTACAGAGTAACACTGTGTAAAAATATCAAGCAATGTTTATTTACCGGTTTCCCTGGATTTGAAGTATCAGGAGATGGTTTATCTAGTGTAGAGGGTTTCACAGACTTTGAAGCATTGTCAATGCCGTTGTCATGTTTCTTGATGAACCACTTTCTGATATCCTATTAAAAGAAAAGTGTCAACAACAAATAACCCAACAATGAGTACAACATAAACCTATATACCAAAAGCAACAACATAAGATAACAACTAAACTTGAACTAAAAATGAAATTAATTTAATAAATACCTACCCATTGAAGCAGGGAAAGAGTCTATTGAAGAATCACCATTGTAAAAAAGACAAATCACTCCATTCTTTACACACATACATCAATTAAATTTTTGTAAATCAACACCAACAGTTTGTCAGTAGGTAGTGCCCCACAGCCCCCGCTTAATAAACTCAAACCTATAATCAACTAACCTGAGAACAAGCACGAAAACAATCCAAGAACATAAAAAAAAAACATAATTGATGTTTTGACGTTTGATGAAATTGTAACCCATATGCCCATTAGAGTGTGCTGGCTAAAATACACACGTAAGAAACATGAACCATTCACTCACCATATTTGAAACCAGTCACCTGCTCCAATCGTCGATCTTGAGTCCAAAATTCTACTGTCGAGAGGGCAAGAAATGCAGTATAGATTAAACGGGTCCCAGTAGATAAACCCTAAAAAAATTGGAAATTCGAATCAAAGAATTCGATATTCTGGGGAGAAATTACATCTTCCTGGGTAAAAAGAGGGTTTTGACAATGATTTCGGTTGATGGGTACTCGGCGTGGCCCTTCTTGGTATCGGCTGAGGCGGAAAAAAAAGGGTTTTGCTTTCGGTTCTGTAATTTCTGTTTCGCCCCCTGAAACGGCTTCAAGAGAATTGGGGGAAAGCCGCCATTTTCATCAATGGTGATTATCACGGTGGGAGGGATGGTGTTCTTGAAGTGAATTGGCTGCGGGCCTGTGATGGTGAAAAACCAGGAGTAAAAAATTGAGGAGTTTTCGTATTAAAATACAAAAAAAAAACGTACGGAATACTCTATTACGGAGTAGGACAACTCGTAATATTCTACATTTCTCTTTTATTCCGTCTTAAAAAAATTATTTTTCACATTCTTTCTTTATATACTACTCCGTATAAGTTTTAGATTTCAAACTTTAAAGAATTAATATGTGACATAGTTAGAAGTTGACATGTAAACTTGTAAAATAAACGAATAATTTTGATTCGGTTCATGATTCATAATCGAAATCAATTATTATATTCGAAAAATGAATACGAATAAGAATATAAAAATTTATTAGAATTCGAAAGAAAACAAATACAAATACGAATGTATATGCATTCGATTCAATATGCTAACGAATATTTTTGAATGTAAATATAAAAATTTATAATTAATATACTGTTTCATAATATATACTCCAAAGTACAATAGAAATCATCTTAAATAGGACTAAAACATAGAGAAAAGTACCAAAATAGGACTTTCATGTTTTTCTTTCCCGGAATAGAACTTTGCACTGTGGTAATGTGACTTTGCATTGTGGTAATGTGGCAGTGTATATATGCAAATTACTATACTTTCTTGGTAATGTATATGACCATATTTGGTAATGTAAGTCATATTTCGGGAATAAAAACATGGAAGTCATATTTTGATATATTATCAATGTTTTAGTCTTACTTTGGTCTTTCTCTCATATATATATATATATATATATATATATATATATATATATATATATATATATATATATATATATATATATATATATATATATACACACACACAAAGTATGATACAGAGTATATATAGTACTATGTAGTTTGTTTTTAGTGTAGCATTCATAGTTAATACTTGATAGTACACATTTTGTTTCTGGACACAATGTAGAAAAGGAAGTACTTAAATAATTTTAAATGAATGTGTAAGTATGAATTAAAATATGGAGTAATTGATAAGAAGACCAAATACCATAAGTTTGTATTCCATAAAAGTAAATCACTAGTTCACTACAAGAGCAGTGCACCTTGTCATTTCCTTTTATGTTTAAGCAAAAGCACTTCTGTTAATGGTCGTCATGCAACTGAGCAATCTTTTTGTACTTCAACGCTACGATTCTACAAATTTGAAGATATTAAACGTAAAAAAACTCTGAATTCGTACTCATGTTTTATGAAAAACTACTAATACGAACCGAATATTTGAATTTAATAACGAATCGAATACGAATAGTACTAATTATTCAAATAAAAAAGAGTATGAATGTGAATACTAGTACCATTTTTCAAATACGAATACAATTTTATAATATTTGATTCGTTCGTTTTACAACTATATGTGACATGTAACATTGTTTATGCACATATAAATAAAACTTTATATCTCATTTGACACTTAATAATTTAATATGCCACTTAATTTAAGGTATAGAAAATGTAAAATTAATATTTTGATATGAAAATTTGGAACAAATTGATTATGGGAAGGAAACTTTTGATTTAATGATAATATTCTTTCTCAATTCAATAATTTCTACTCTCTTTTTTATAATAAAACTTTTAATTACAGAGTAATAAATAAGATATGTTTTTACCTCTAAATCAATGTCATATGAGTATTTATTTATGACATGTTAAAACGAAGTTAGCTTTGATTTGGTTTATTACAATATTGATGTAAAATAAAAAACAGATAATACCCGAGTATATTTTAGAAACTTGTGTTTTTGAGCGCTGACTATTAATTTCCAACATTTTTCAACTCTTTTAGTTTCTTCTCACGTCTTCTAGTTTTTTTAACTCATTTTATTGTTCAACTCATTCCAATTTCTTTCAAATTTTCCAGATTTTTCCAACTCCTTCCAATTTCTTCCAACAATGACTTATTTTTTTTTATCTATATTCATATTTTATTATTATTATTATTATTATTATTATTATTATTATTATTATTATTATTATTATTATTATATCATCTCAATAAAAAAACAAAGGGGCATAATTCAAACTTACTACGGAGTAGTTACTAGAGTGATCTGTTTACTACTTCCCTCCGCTCCAATTTATATTGTCTGTTTCGATTAACGATGTCTCACTTAAATTATTTTCAAATCATTTTATATGAAAAATTGTGTATAATTAAAAAATAAAAATTATTTATTAAATTATTACATTAAAAAACTATAAGAGTAGTGGTGACATGCCTATTTTATTTTATCAAATGACTATTAAAAAAAGAGAAAGAAAGTGAATGAAATTTGAACATGTGAATAGTAAACAAACAACATTTAATTTGAGATGGAGGAGGTACAAACCAAGTATTTATTTCTAAATAATTCATTCAAGTGAATCTAACCACCATCCATCAATTTCAACTAATGTCAATTTGAACTAATGTAATGCCACCTACTAATCCTAAATTACAAGATGAACATTTTACTACCACAAAACTAGTTCAGATAGAGAAGTTGGATTAAAAAGAAGAGCAGAATAGCAGATGCACCACCACTGCCGCTGCCACCACCACCACCATCAGTCCAGATGGTAAACTGCAATGAATGGCATCAGAACACTTCCCAACCAAAGCTTACCATCCTTCTCTTCCACCTCACTCACAGCTTTCACAACCTTCCCTTTTCTGTCTTCCAACACCTGCAAGATCTTACCCTCTGGGCTATACTTCACTATTATTCCGTGAGGCATTCCGCCGACGTACATGAGCTGATAGATCCATGTGGGGATGGGAAGCTTCACCAGAGCCTTCCTCAGGTTTGGGTGCAGAGCAGACATGTGACTGAAAATCGACCTTCGGCTGTGGATTGCCACCCAGAATTCGCCTTTTTCGTTTGCTCTCACGTTGTCAGGGAACCCTGGCAGGAGTGCCATTACTTCTGAGGTCCCTTCTTTCTCACCCTCCAGCCAATACTTCATTAACCTGCAATGGAAGATGTAAAGAAGATATTTGGTTGAATTAGCTAATTAATTTGGTTCACGCCTCGTTTCGTAACATTTTCAACTCAAAGTTAGCGTTTTGGTTAACTTTTTTTTAATGGTTTACAATGAGCATAAAGACAGAGACAATATAGATGTGGCAGGTTACATAATCTGTGCACTTGATTAATTTTCTGCCTTCAATGCCAAGTACAAGAAGGGGAATGCACCTTTCCATTAAACCTTCACAGTATACAAAGAAGGATCCATCCTTACTCAGAGACAACCCGTTTGGGAATTGGACATTTCGGACGAGAACAGTCGTCTCTTTTGTTTTTGGATTGTATTTGAGGACTCTCCCAGTATTGTCACCTGTGAATGTCAACTGACTGAAATTTCTGAAACCGAAAAAATAAACAGTCAAGAAGTTAATAATGCAAGAGAGATTTAAGTAAGTGTGCATGCACACAATATAAAAGCAGAAGATGTAGGGGTCTGTTTGGGACAGGAAAATCAAAAATGCTAGGGATAAAAAATGTAGGAGAATACCGGACAGATGGAAAACATGAAGAAAACTATTTATCTATTTTGACTAGTAATGTATACAAATGGAAGAAATTACAAACCGTAAAATCATTTTTCTTTGATCCAACTAGCCATGGTTTTGTTTTCCCTTTCCCTACCATTTTCAGGGTTCCAAACATACCCTTAGTAAAAGGAGAAGAGGGGAAGGGTTTCCAAAACAATAAAGGGAAAGAAGGACAGTAAACAATAATGAGCATTGCTTGACTATGAAAAACTAAGCTGTTAAGCATAAAATTTACTGGAAATGAAGCATTAAAAGGCGAGGGAGTGAAATTTACCTTCTGGGGTAATTAATGCTGCTATCAGTAAAATAAACATTCCCATCATCATCAACATCCAGATCGTTTGTGAACCCGAACGGAACTCCTTCAGCCTCAGTTGTTAGTGACATTGCCTGACCGCCTTCTGGACCGGCCTTCATCAACCCATAGTATGCATCTGCAATGTATAACTCGCCGGTTCTTTTGTGGAATCTTAACCCTAAAGGCCTTCCACATATGTGTTCGTTCCTTATGTAGGTTAAATATGTTGGATTGGGCTTTGGGTCACAGATACTTGACCTGAAATTGTATCAGCAAAGATTTGGCTTTAAGTTTCCTCTTTCCATTTGAGAAAAAAATATTGTGATTCACATTATTTTCGTCTCATCCAAATAAAACTCCATTAAAAAACTCATCTTGGAATCATATGTGCTATATAATTGGTCTAATTCAGCTTTAGAACAGTTCATTCAATCCAAGGAAAGGAACCTTTTTAACAACTTTCAGAGTCCAAAATGAGAAGAGTTCTGATTGAGATATTAAAAAATATAGACGAAATCACTGACCTATTGGGCGAAGTAACGGCGAATTCAATCCACTGGGTCCCATTCCAGAACAGAACCCTACCGTCGGCGACGCCGGTGTAGGGGCCGCGCCCTCGGGGGTCGAAGGCGATGCTCTCCGGACCTTGAATCTGGTGCAGGAACTTGATTTCCGACTTCCGGAGCAAATCCCGCGCGTCTTTCTCCGGCGGATGCTCCGACCACGGCGCCTGGTCCACAAGGTGGACCACGAAGTCGGAGATTGTGCGGTGGCCGAATGGGTCCATGGCACAGTACACCGCCACCAGGAGGAGTATCGCCGCTAGCAGTCTGGCCGTCGTCATCTACTGGTACAAGTGGCGGGATTGGGATGGATTCCAATAAGCCAGCATTATAACCAGTTGGCAAACTGGTCCGGTCCAACCTTTAAGACCGCTACAAGCACGGAACAGGCTCAAACCGGTACCAACCAGTAAGAACCTGCCGATTAAACCGGCGAACACATTGTACATATCCCAAACATATTTTTTGAAAAATATAATGTTCTTCTTTGAAAAATATAATGTTCGTCCCTTCATCTCTATAATTTTGAAAAATATAATGTTGAAATTGTGATTCAAACTATTATCTAATAATGCAATTGATACTAAAACAAAGTACATATCCCAAAAATATTAACTCATTTGAATTTTTTTGAAAATATTAGA